ACAGCTCTGGGCCTACCTCCTTCGTGGATGGGATGAGAGAGCATCCTTTTAAAATAGCCCACCTGTCCCTGGCATTTCTGCTGCTGTGTCTAGGCTAATGGCCCCAAGAGATCACTTGAGACAGGAGGAAAAACCTTCTCGGAGGGAAAGGACAGAATGGAGCCTTGGATTCTTTACTGGCCCCAGGTGGGAAATCGCTTTCTTCTGGCCCATAAAGCAGCCGTCTGTTCTGCTGTTTTACTACCAGCGTTCCTCAGCGGGCTGGGAGAAGCAGGCCCAGGTGGATATGTTGTGGGGGAAATTGATGCTCCCGGCTCTGGGAGAAATCCTCAGGATGCCTTTACCTGTCCCTCAGTACACCWGCCTGGTGCAGCCTCCCGAATCCAGTAAGCCCAAGGGGGTCGTCAAGCGTGCTGCTGTCAAGGGACAGGTGGCATCTCAGAATCTCTTCTCTCAGCCTGGATCAGAAACATACGACAACCAGAAATGGTGTTCAAAGCCTCGGAGGCCAATGTTGCTTGGGAAAGAGAAGAGCTTCTAGGCCCAGGTCCTAAGCCTGAGGGATGTGGGCATCACAGACCCGAATTCTGGAACAGAGAGGAGTGCGGGAGAAGCCAGGAAGCATGGGAGGGGAGTGCAGGGACAGGAGCCTGGGGCCAGCTCTGTGCTACCTTATTGCATGAGGGATCTGTGTTGGGTATGTTTCCCTGACATGGAACTTTCCGATCACAGCCTTCAGAGTCTTAGGCTGAGGAACACCAGCTGCCTATGAATGTGTCGGACACATTCCCCTGAGAACTACCTGCTTTGGGAAGAACTTCCCTGAATCTGCCATACAAATGGGGTCTGAAAGGTGGTTGAAACCTGGTTCTGCAGATGCTGTTGGTTCCTGAGTTCAAAGTGACCCCAGCCAAAGCCATCAGTGGGGGACTGAGCTGATGACCTTTCTCGGGTCTAATGTTAGGGTCTGTAAACAAGCCAAGAGGGCGCTTGGCATTTTGCAGAGGGCGCTTGGCATTTTGCAGAGGGCGTGGTTTGTGAAGTAACGCCATCGAGCCATTAAGTGTAGAGATTCCTGAGTGGTTGACTGCTGTATGGAGTTTATGTTAATTAGATAAGCTGTGTGGAATGTATATATACCCCTCCTGTCCTACAATAAACGGCTCCCACTCCTGCTGTATCAATGTACACGAGTTGTTCGTCACCCCCCGGTTATTTTGCTGCAGCCGGACTGTGGCAGTCTACAGTTTCCTCTACTGACAATTGGTGATTTCTGATCCTATACATGCTGCTACTTGGTGGTAAAAAGTTTCCAAGATTTTTAAAATTAAATCTGTAATTTTAGAATAGTTTTAGGTTGACAAAAAAAGATTTAGTAGTTTTGGAGTTAAACTAAAAAATAGTTTTAGATATTTTTTACAAAATAATTTTTATATGGTTTTAGATTTGTAAAGACAGTACGAAGTCCTCAGGTATCCTGGCCCTAGTTCCCCTACTGTTAGCATCCTGTATTACTATTACACTTGTTACAACTAACAACTCCACAGTGATATATTATTTTAACTAGATTCTGTACTTTATTCAGATTTTATTGTTTTCTCCCTAATGTCCTTTTTGTTTTCCAGGGTCACATCCAGGACACCACATTAGATTTAGTTCTCATCTGGGTTGTGACAATTTCTCATTGTTTTCTTTCCTTTTTGGTAGCAGGGATGGAACTCAGGGACACTCAACCACTGAGCCATATCCCCAGCTCCCTTCAAGTTGCTCAAGACCTCATTAAATTGCTGAGGCTGGCTTTGAACTTGCAATCCTCCTGCCTCAGCCTCCCAAGCCACTGGGATTACAAGTGTGCAAAACCAAGCCTGGCTCTGTCCCTGTTTTCGATGACCCTGACAGTTTTGCAACAGGCCAGGAAGTTTTATAGAATGTCACTTAATATGTGTTTGGTGTTTTTCAYTAGGGACTTTGGAAAAGACTAGAATGCCATTGTCATTTCATCATATCAAGGATACATACTGTTAGGGACTGGATGCTTGTGCCCCACCGCACCCCACCCCCAATTAATCCCCAATGCCAGGGCATAAGGGGGCGGGGCCTGTGGAGGTGATTAGCTCATGAGGGTGGAGCCCTAATGATGGGTTTTATGCTCTCATAAGCTGAGACCACAGAGAGCTGGCATCCTCCTCTCTCATCTCCCCCAGGAGAGGCTGCAGTAGGAAGCCAGCATCCGCAACCTAGAAGAAGACCCTCACCGGAGCCTGACCCCAGCCTTCTAGCCTTCCAAATTGAGAAAAAGAGACATTTGTTGCTGTACCAGCCAGTCTCTGGTGATTGTTATAGCAGCCAGCACTGACTAAGACAGACTACCAACATGACTTGTTGAAGAGGCTGACCTTGGTCACCTGGCTAATGCAGTTGTGCCAGGTTTCTCTATGATAAATTTACTCTCGGCCTCCTATCACTCCACTCTGTGGAACAGGCCATTACCTAAGGGTGGGGAGTCAATGCTCTGCCTCTCCTTGAGGGGGATATTTGCACAAATTGTTAGAATTCTGATTGGGAGATTTGTCTTTGCCCTATTCTTGGCAAAGCCGCCCCTTCATCTCAACAGGTTGGCTGAGCCACTTTCTCTACTTGGCTTTTTTCCCCCAGGCAGCTTTCCTCCCTGGGATCCTGACCACTAGGGATGTCAGGCACCCACGACCCACACAGTGCCAGATGGGCCAGATGGAGAAATGGGCCAAGTCTGATGGGTGATGATGTGGTAAATATTGACTGTGCACTGCTACAGGCCAGGCATAGTTCAGGGGAGTAGAGAGCACACAGACGATCCTGCCTCTCACATCTGGATTGAAGGCCAGCAGCATTAGCTTCATGTGGGAGAGCTGAGAAATGCCGATTCTCAGCCCCAGCCCAGACCTACTGCACCAGACTCTGAATTCTCAGTAAAGTTCTCGTGGGATTCCTAGGCACATTGAAGTTTGAGAAGCACTGGGCCAAAAAGCATTTCCCAAGCAGATAATCAAACAATAAGTAAGTGTCATGATCTCAAATAGGACAAAGAAAACTTATGAACATGTGTTGACTCAGGTGTGTGACAGAATAACCAACCCAGTATCTATGAGAGATGGGTTCCAGGGCCCCTCGCAGATACCAAAAATCTGACAATACTCAAGTCCCTCACATAAAATGATGTATTTGCATGGGAACCTACACATATCTTCTTCTAGGCTTTAAGTCATTTCAAGATTCCTTATCATACCTGACTACAATGGAAAGGCCATATAAATAGTTATATTGTAGGGCTGGGGCTGGGGCTCAGTGGTAGAACACTGCCTGTCATGTGTGAGGCCCTGGGTTCGATCCTCAGCATCACACATAAATAAAGAAATAAATAAAGGTCTATCAACACTTATAATATTAAAAAAATAGTTGTATTGTTCAGAGAACAATGATGAGAAAATAAAGTCTATACATGTTCAGTTCARTTTTTTTCTGAATATTTGTGATCCTCAGTTAAGTGAAGCCATAGATATGTAGAAATGACCATCATTTAAAAAAAAAAAAAACATGAGAAGGACTAATGGAAAAATGAACTTCCGTGTCCTGGGTGGTCTGCATCTGATTAGCTCATGACCGGCTGGGAAGCTGAGCCTCCTTCTCCACCCCCCCTGCCACGTAGCTCTATCGAATGCCCTTTAATAAGCCCCACCCTGGATTACTAGCCCTCATGGGTCCTGGACGTCCATGCCACTCGACACCTGGGCAATGCAGGGTTTGCAGCACTCACAAGAGCAGAGCTGAGGACAGGCAGCTGGATATAGGAGTTGGGGACCTCCAGCCCGTGACCAGGCCTCAAGTGTCACTGGCCTCACACTCAGGGTCTGGAGGGCAGAAGACCTTCGGTGAAGTTAGCTCTGGTCATGGAGATCAGAAAAAGGGACCTGCCCAGGGCCATAGGACGGGGACCGGAGGGAGCCTGAGCCCTTCACCAGCTACCACAGGGACGAAGATGGTGGTGGACAAATAAACAAGAGCAAGGAGGAGGGAGGAGACAAAGCCCAGGGTACCCAGCCACCAGATGTGACAGCACATCATGGTCCCATCTTGGAGYGCATCTCTGTCACACACAGGGTAAATGGGTCTATTCCCTGTGAATTATCTTCTAGCCAGCAGCTCCTTCCATCTGCTCATTAACACAATAATAAAAGAATATCAAACCAGCCTTCTGACTCCCAGACCCCGGGGGTCTAACTACATAACTTGGAAATGACTTTTTATGAAGTCTGATCAAAGGCTCGTTGCTCAGTAATTAGAAATCACGGCCTCCCCCTCCCCCAGGCTTGGGGCTCATAAACACAGTGGAATGAGCTTTTTATTTGGGTTGAACCAAAACCCTTGCGGATCCATTTCCTCCTCACACTAGCCTCCATGGGGACAGCGGCAGGAGACTGAGCTTCTGCTGCTCTGGGAGACCCTCGGGCTCGGTGTTTGCAGCAGGCCAGGAGCAAGCAGGTGAGCGGCTGTTGAAATGGGCCTCTGGACTGACACGGGACAAGGACCTGAGTGAGGGACACCAGCACCAGAGTCTGGGCCGAGTGGTGTGCAGTGTCCCTTGCTCTCCTATTGACGCCTGTCCAGCAGTGGCCTCTGAGAAAGGGGAGCGTGTCCGAGGTCTAGCTGTGGATACCACACTGGGGCTGACCAGCCAAAGACCCCTGGAGCCAGAACAGGGTGAGCAGTGAAGAAATCCTCGTCAGAACGTCTTCATCGAACCACTCAATAAATATTTATTGAGGACTTACAAAGTGCTAGTGTTCCACAAGATACGGGGATCAGATGGGGTACAAAAACCAGTGCCTGCTCCTCTTTTTTTGGGGGGTACCGGGGACTGAACTCAGGGGCCCTTGACCACTGAGCCACACCCCCAGCCCTATTTTGTATTTTATTTAGAGACAGGGTCTCACTGAGTTGCTTAGCACCTAGCTTTTGCTGAGGCTGGCTTTGAACTTGAGATCCTCCTGACTCAGCCTCCCGAGCTGCTGGGATTCCATGCGGGCACCACGGCGCCCAGCAATGCCTGTTCTTAAAGATACCACAGGTCAGAGGGGGAGGGTGGTCCACCCAGAGGAGAAAGTCGTCTGGAGTCAGAGGGTGCGGGAGCACCTGGCAAAGAGGAAGCGGGGAGGCAGGGACCCCCAGAGCCGAGAATGGAAATGTCCTCATCCTTCAGGAATCTCTGGAGATATGCTGCACATCTGGAAATGCGTCTGGCGGGTCCAGCTGTGGCCTCTGAGACCCATCTTCCTTTTGGTCCTCAAACTCTCATATACTGGACATTGGCACCCAAGAACAGGAAGTCCTAGAGGGAAACAAGGCGGCCTGGGATGGTAAGGAGCATCTTCTACTCCAAAAAGATGCACCTGCTACATAAAGAGGGCCCCTGGCGCAGGAAACACAGGCTCTGGCAGAAACCAGGTCACTGCATAAATCGCAGGAGTGCCTGGCTCCCCAAGGTCTCCATAAAGCACTGCTCTGCCAGCTAACTTCTCCAAGTAGTGATCTGCCTGTCATTTCCCAAGCTGTGTATTCCTGGAAGGTCTCATAAATGTCCTTTATGTCACCTAAATTTTTTTTTTCTCTTTGGTGGAGAACACAAAATTGTGAGCTGCTGGGATTTTCTCTCCTGCTCTTAAATCAGAGGGTGGGGACTCAGAACTCAAGACAAGGTTTAATTCTTTCCAGAGTGATCCAACTCCTGCCTTCTTGGGTGGCTGGAAAAATGAACACAGGTGACCTCTGGATTTCAATGATAATATGTAACAAATCCTCTAATCACTTCCCATATACCAAACATCGGCCTCTACCCAGGAAGGCCTGGGTCACACCCCATTTTATAGAAGAGATAAATGAGACCAACTGTGTGAATGGTCACTCTGACTTTGTTTTGAGCAATGATCTAATTTCACTTGTGGACACTCAACAGTGGTTGGGTGTTAAGTATCCTGAGATTCAAAAGGGCTCTGAACATTTGTTTTACAAATACAATAGCTGGCCAACGTTTCCGAGTTCCCAACCACCCCTGACCTTCATTCCCTTCAATAGCTATTATTTTGGGGACGTTGACCATGGACCAAGCACCAATGCAGCATGTCTCCAATGTCCCGTGGCGCCCACATGTTGGCCAGTGGAGTCCTCTCACCCTGGACGTGCTGTTCTAGAGAGATGGCCTGAAATCTGGGTGGATTCATGAACCCTTAGATTCCTGGCCAGGATAGTAGCCAAGATAGGGAAAAATCAGGCTTAATTCTTGGTATTAAAATAGTTAAATCAATTATGGTCCATCTTCAGGGTGAGATTATACACAGCTGTTTATCAGCAGGAGCTGAAAACTAGGTTTGATCATAGAACATACCTAAGGGGTGACGTTAAGTTAAAATAAATGATGAAATAAAGGCAGACATGAGTGTTAGCAATACAGGTGTCCAAAACAAACAAAAATTGTAAGAAAAGCTTCGCAGAGGTGAAGGACTGGAGAGATGCACACCAAAATCCAAACTGTGTTTGTGGTGGAGCAATGGCCTTATGGAAAAATTTTAAAATGTTTTTTAAAATGTTCACAAGGTGGGCTGGGGATGTGGCTCAGTTTCAGAGACCTTTCCCAGCATGCAGAGGCCCTGAATTGGATTCCCCAGCACCACAACCACCACCAAAAAAAAAAAGTTATAGGTTTAAAATGGGGGACACACCAAATACATATGTATAATACAGCTCTTTCACTTAAGAATTAAGATGGGGGCTGGGGATGTGGCTCAAGCGGTAGCGCGCTCGCCTGGTATGCGTGCGGCCCGGGTTCGATCCTCAGCACCACATACAAACAAGATGTTGGTCCGCCGAGAATTAAAAAATAAATATTAAAAATTCTCTCTCTCTCTCCTCTATCTCTCTCTCTTTAAAAAAAAAAAAAAAGAAAGAATTAAGATGGAATTAGGTGGGCATGGTGGCGCACACTGTAATCCCAGCAACTTGGGAGGCTGAGTCAGGAAGATTGCAAGTTCTAGGCCATCCCGGGCAATCTCGCAAGATCCTGTGTCAAAAATTAAAAATAAATAAATAAATAATAAAAGCTGGGGCTGTAGCTTGGGGGTAAAGTGCCCCTGGGTTCAATCCCCAGTACCGCAAAATATACAAAGAAATAAAAAGGAATGCACTACAATTTACCCATGGCCTTCAGACCCTGACTGTTGGTAAGTCTAAGACTTGCAGTATTTTCAAAGTGGAAACCCAGGCTTCATCAAATGTCTCCTGCTCCGGCAGAGGGGCCACTTCTAAAGGACACCTGGATGGCCTCATGGCACACTGCAAGATCCTGGAGCATGCAGGTCCGGGCTGGATTCCACTGAGTTATGGTCTCCAAATTTGGCGGGCTAACCAACTTCCACCTCCAAGTCCTCAGAGCCCCCTTGAACCCACTGACCTTGTGAATCTGGAGAAGGAGATCATGGAGCTGAATATGCCTTGGCAGAGGGAGGGGGAAGCCTTCAGCCAGCTTATCTGCAGGCAAGGACAATATCAAAAGGATGAGTTAATAGATAACAGCGATAGACTTTTTTTTTTTAAAGGAAGAATTTTGTAGGTGAACACAATACATTTATATTATTTTTATGTGATGCTGAGGATAGAACCCTGTGCCTCATGCGTGCTAGGCGAGCACTCTACCACTGAGCCACAGCCCCAGGCCACTCTCTGCAAATTCTATACACAATTCTAAGTATTCCCACTTAGGACTATGAGGTAGATATGATTATTATTTCTATTTCACACATAAGGAAACTGGCACAGAATGATCCAGTAACTTGTCCTAGGTCACACAGCTAGGAAGTGGCAGAACTGGGATTTGAACTTCGGAAGGCTGGCAGGGGAACCTAAGCCGATAGTCATGGAGCCCTCTGGAGGAAGCAGCAGGTTTGGGGTAGCAGGTAGAGCAAGTGGTAACTACTCTCTGCTCTCCACCCATCCTGCTTTATGTCGCAGCCAAATAAAGTAGTATCTCAGGGAATCAGGGTTTGGAACTTTGTGCTTTATTTATTTTTACTATGGACGTGGGTGACTGACTGGGAAATGTGCCTGCCCGGTGCCCTACCTGGTGCCCTCCTCTATGAACTTGAGGACCAAGTTGGTCCTCAATCTTCACCGCAGGAGGGGAGGGGCACTTCCTGCTCCCTCGGGAGGAGCACCAAGGAGATGTCACAGCTCCAGCCCCAACAGAGCCTGGAGGGGCTGTCGCCAGCATCAACATCCCACTGAAGCCCAGACGAGAGACTTTCCAAGGTCACGCAGCCCCCAGGGGGAGCCCTGGTTCCCAACTCCAAGTCCAACTCTCTTTCTCCTCCAAGCACTGTCCACTACCAACTTGGGAAAAATGGGTCTGGATTCTTACCATTGACCTTGGGGTAGAGAGTCTCCCGGATGTAGTAGTTGAGCAGCGCCTCCATCATCTCCACCTGGTGGAGAACAGGAGAGGTGCACTATGACCACGCGGGCCAGGGGCCCCCAGTACACAGTCTCCAGCCACCCAGGGGTGGCTGTGGTTGCCCACAGGGCGAAAGGTTTGAAAAACGCAGTTTGCAGATGAATGCCTACACCTTGCTGCTATTTTGCAAGTTATAACCATGTTGAGATGCACATTTATAGGTAAGCAAACAAATAGAAAAAAATTGAGAGGCTGTGTGTCACTGTGCGTAGGAAAAGCACCAAGCATTATCTTTAGTATTTAACTTTAAAAAAAAAAAAGCGAGAATATCTTCCTGAATTACTTGTGTAATTTTTAAAAATTAAGTAAACCCAAACTAGGCTTCTCTACAGAAATTAGGACACACCACTTTGACACTCACTATTCGCCAGGAACAGGGCTCAGAGCTTTATAAGTATCTGATTCAGTCTTCACAAGACTCCCCAGGAAGTTCCTATTAACCTTCCCATTTCACAGATAAGGAAATTGAGGCCCACAGAATGAAAGTGACTTAGAAACTGGACAGCAGGGTCCGGATATAAATCTAAATTGATCTGGGGTGACGGATGTTACTTTTCATACTTTTTTTTCTGAACACATTAGGATGACTCTGTGTCTTTACATGTGAATGCTTCACTTCAAGGACATTTTAACATGGTGTGTGTATATACAGCGCCAGGGTATCATTACCTCACCCTTGATTCTCTGAGAGGAGTCATTCTTGGGGCCCCAGGAGCAACATCCCTCCCCAGTCTGTGTTTGCTTCTACTTTGTAAGTGCTTAGGGAAAGTGGGGGAAGGAGAGCAGGGATGAAGTGGTCACTAATTTGAGCACCTGGATCCATCTATCTATGCCTGAAACTTCCTGCCTTGGGTTTTCATTGTTATTGTTGTGATTTGTTTTTTAGTAACATGACCCTATGGGTTATTCTTCTGTGCTTAATACAGGTGGCTTTCTTTCCCTTGCAATAAAGTAATTGTGTCCAACAGATAACTTAATTATTTATTATCTTATATTGGGATGTAACCATTCTTGTTGCTATGTCTTGTGTTCTTGAGAAGTTCAATGCTTCCCTAGGGCAGAGATCTGCTCTTCTCTTTTTCTATTTCCAATGAAAGGTGCCACAGCAATTGCTTAGTATCCTAACCATGTCATAAATAAAAACATTAATAACTTACATTGAAGAATCCAAGTTTGGATTCTTTCAGTTCCACTTGTACCCTGTAACAAATCAGAGAAGATTCATAGATACGGGCGTCGTGCCCATGGGAACTTAGGCAACACCGGGGTCCCAGAGAGGAGGAGGCACTGGCTGAGGACGGGGTGGGGGGTGGGGGATGGTGAAAAGGTAATTAAGTATCTAAAAAACAATGACACCACAATACGGGGAAGACAGAGGGAGGTGGGGTGGAGGGAAAGAGCTCGATCTTTATCTGCTCAGGAAATTAATACAACTGGAGTCTATTCATTAAGAAAAAAGTCATTTAGATTTCTAAATTCCTAAAGTAAATCATTTAGAAATTTGAAATGTATGGGGGGGGTGGCAGGCTCAGCACGACAAAGGAATTAGGCCAATTGGAATAAAATTTAAATTTCCTTCCCAAATGGTTCCCCAACATTGAGAATCACCCCCCACACCCCCTACTCCCAGCCACAGAGGAGCAGCTAAGGCGTCACAGGGAGCCTGGCTGAGCATCCCTGTGGGCAGGAGGAGGCTGGTTTACCTTCCTGGGGTCAGGAGCCCAGTGATCTTGCTGGTATTGAAGGCCAACGTCGCGGTTATATTAGTGGTCTAGAAAAGCCGGAGAAGAAACCAGTTCTGAATGATGGTAGTTGTCAGGACAGTGACCAGAGCCAGTATTGCCTTCAACCAACAGCTCAGGGAATCCAAGCAGGAAACCTGCCCATTGACTGACCGTAGATCCCAGGGCACATAGTAGGTGCTCAATAAATGTTTGAACTTGGACTTGAACATTTTTACTTAAAATTGCTGACCATGGCAGCTGTTAAACCTTGAGTAAACTACCGAGAAGGCATAGCATGTGTATCCCTGGAGAGCTCTAAAAAGGATCATTACCAGCTACCTCCCTGCTATGAGTCAGCTGTCGTCATAAAAATAATAAATTATATTTGGTCTTAAGATATATGATCAACAAGAACAATTTTCACAGCAATAACAACACTCTCAGTTTGCGGACGGACCCACTGAGAGGAATTACCCCCCTGCAGAGATCTGACTTGTTAAGTTTCAAACCTGGAACAAGAGAGCCAAGTTCTCTGTCTGGTGACCAGGATCCTCAAAGAACCCAGAACCCCTTCTCTATTAGACGGAGTCCATCACAAAAGAAAAAAACTCTCTCAATGTTTCATGTGGAGAGAATTTAATGCAAAGCAGTGGCTATACAAGTGTGGAATGGCAAAAGGCTGAAATGAGTTGGTGAGGCTGCTCAGAGATAAGCAGAGCCAGACTAGAGGGAGAGAGGGTGCAGCTGGGATTAGGAGAGCCACCACCTGGAGGGTAGTCCCTGCAGGTTCCGCCCAAGGCAAAGAGAGGGGGAAAATAAACTCTGGCTTGATGCTTCCTCCCGCCCTCCATTCTCCTGATCCTGTCTTCCATTGGCTGATGTAACTAGATGTCAAAGTGCAAGGGCCTCTGGGAAATGTAGTCTTTAGGTGTCAGCTACAGCTACAGAGCAAAGCAAATAGGTGGAAAGCCCCCAAACCTTCCTACATGTACGTGAAACAAATATATATGCAAATAAATATATAAATACCTTGATAATAAACATTGTGAAGAAAAATAATGGGGTGCTACAAGAAAAAAATGGCAAAAGGTAAGATAAAGTGGGGTTAGCACCGACAAGATAGACCTCTCTGGGGAAGTACACTGAGACCTGGAGGAATTAGCCAGATGGTGAATGGGGGACAAGCATTCAGGAAACAGGAACAGCATTTGCAAAGACTTGGAACCTTACCACACCGAGCCGGAAGACAAACTGCTTGAGAGAGTTAGGCAGGAGCACAAAGGCATCGATTCCCAGCTGGGGGGCCAAGGAGAGATTCCCAGGGCTGAAGGTCAGGAGTGGGGCCCGAAGCAGGGCTCCCTGGAGCTCCAAGTTCATGTTGGGGTACAGCTTGCCTATCTGGGGGGCAGAATTAGAAGACTATGTCAAGAGAAGAAAATAGGGGTGCAGAGTATAGTCACATAAAGCTGAGGTTGGTACAGAAAGGCAGGCTTTAACTTTTATAAAGTGCTACAAGAAACAGCCTTCTGAGTCCCATCTGTGTAAAAATAATGGAGAAAAAGGCGCACACATTTAATGTGTCAGCTACAGCTACAGAGGATATTGAAGAAGGAGATACACATCTGACCCTCTTAGTAAACTCAAGATGAGACCTGGGTGACAAGGGACAGAGGTGGTTGGGAGACTTTTTCATTCTATAGTATCTCTTGAATGTTGAATCATGAGAATTCATTTCTCATTCAAAAAAATTTTTTAAAGTGCCGCAAACATCCCTGACCCCAAGTAAGCCCTCTAGAGTTGTTAGGCGTTGCTAATTAGGGCACCCTTTATAGAACACACCAGCACTCCTTGGGTTCTTAGGTAGAACCAAAATCAGACGGGACACTCTGCATGGCCCCAGGAGACATGGGCCTCAGCCTGTCACTTGGGCTCTGGCAAGAGCCCTGAAGCCTGCAGCTCCCCAACCTTCTGAATCTYGGCCAAGCTGAGGGGGAGGTGTAGGTTTTGAAGAGAAACCTTGGAAGTTTAGCACGTACCCACAGAGGGCCAAGGGACCCTTACCAGGGGGAGGAAGGCACGGAAGGACTTGGTGGTCAGTCGGATGATGGAGTCAGGTGGGATCTGCAGCAAAGAGACAGAGAAGTTTGGGGAGCTTTGATGTCTTCTTCTGAAAAATGGGCATTATAGTCACCCTGGCCTTTGGGCCCCTGGGAGGGCAGTGCACACAGTAAGTCTCCAGGAAATGGTGGGGAGGGCGAATGAGACGTGACCACAGAGGGTCAATGCTATGGAGAATCTCCCGAGGACTAAGTCGCCCCATCCATTCAGCAGACAGTCCCCCAGCACAACAGGGTAAACTGAATCATCCGGTTGTAGCACACTGTGTTTTTCCCATCACCCTGACCTTCATGAGATCTCTAACTCTTATAAAGTGCTGCAAGAAACAGCCTTCTGAGTCCCAGAAAAAAGATATGATTCACTATAAAATCGAGTCTCCCTTACACAAAGCCCCTTGGAGACAGTTGTTTTAGAGGTTTCAGGAAGACTTAGATCACTAAATCATGTACCCTTTTCACTTTGGCTACACGGAAGTTTGTAGATTTGTGATTAAAAAAAAATCAATAAATGGGCACGGTATCTTCCTAATTGTGTTTTATGTTTAACTTGGTCTTTACTTCATTTTCTCTGTAACCTTCTGCCTTTATCAGGGTATCTATTGTCCTGCTTCATTCACAAACATGTTTTTAATAAACCTCCATGCATCATCAAGATGAGAAAAAAATATAAACTAGAACAGGTCTCGACTAGGAGAAAAGTAGTAGATAGACTGCAAAGTCTTCTATAGTTGTTATAAGGGAGGAAGAACTTTGGATTAGAGCTTCCTGGCAGCCAGAGTAATACAGGGAACTTGTGCTAACTTACTTTTCTTTTTCCTGGCCTCGATCTTTTAGTTATATAACTTACTGTTTTACTGATGTAAATAGGGGCAGAAAGGAAAAAAGGAAGGGAGAATAAGTTACATTGTCAGAGGAGAAYGTGTTTCTGTCACCGTCCTCACCATGTCATCTGTGATGGAGAAGTTCAGGTACCCCGCTTGGTAGTACACCCGGCTGGCGGTGTTGAAGACATAATTAGAGACGGCAAAGTAGAGCATTCGGTCATGGTCCTCAGGAACGTTGATGGCCGGGGCAAGGAAGGGAACTGCAGAGCGGTGATTAAGATGGAAAATTTCACCCTGGGGAGAGAGAGAGAGAGAGGTTCCAACTGGACTTCCCAAAGCCCAGGGACGTGGGGGCCAGAGAACCACCAGCACGAGACGGTGCTGACACTGCCCCACTGGACGTGTTCCTCGGGGCCAAGAAGCTTTGGTTTATGAACCCACAGGACACAGTGGACGGCCCTCCTGGGGCCAGCTCTGACCCACCCCTTCTGCAGGGCAGGAAGGGAAAGGAGGGGAAGAAGGAGGAGAGGACTCATTAGGACCTAAGGATGGTGAGACACCTGGGAGTCTCCTAGCCCAGGGAACACTCGCCACCACTCCATATTGCCCTGCCTCCCCGCAGTGGGGAGAGGAGACAGATCTGAAGGTAGGAGGAAGGTGGCCCAGGACCGGGCGGATCCCCAGGCAAACTTCACTGGGATTGGACTCACCCAGGGCCCTGCTCCAAGGGCCTCACCTTAAACATGATATCCAGCATGTTGGTGGTTGCCCGAGGGGCCTCCGTTAAACTGTAGTCGACCCCTGCGAAGCTGTCAATCTCTGCGATGACTGTGAACCCGAGAGGGGCAGTATTAGGGGCCAGCAGTGGCCTTTGACTGTGGGGAAAGGGTGAGGGCTCTGGCCCACTCTGTGACTTTCTCCAGGGCCCTTGCCCTTCCACCCAGCTTGGGGCACATAACCTCTTCCTAAAGACGACAAGTGGGTCTTGTCTCTCTGGTGGCTCAGCCATGGTGAGGGTGTGAGGCTCAGCCCAGGGCCAACACAGTGTGGGAGCCCAGCCTGGCCTGGAGCTTCAGGCTGAGCTACACAACCAGGAAGGCTGAGCAGGTCCAGAGGCTCAGACATTCTCCTCCAAAGCCCTGGGATGTTCCCTTCTCAGGTCACTGTGCATCCTGGGCCTCAGGGAAGAGGGTGTCAACAAGTACTGCATGAGGACCTGGGGCCACAGCACCAGAGAACATCTCAGATGCTTGGCTGGCCGACCCTCCAAAATTCACATTGCACCTGGGATTTGGGGTCTCTTCATGGAGTCAATTATTCTGCAGATACACCTCCATGTGGGCAGAGAGGCATATCCTGGGTGCCCCTGCAGCCCTGCTGGTACTGGTAATGGATGGAAGAACCCCAAATGTCCTTTTTCTGGGATCTTTAAATCAGGGCGCAGCCACAGGATGGAGTACTACACAGCTATTAAAAACAATAAAAAATGGAAAAGTCCAGAAAATTCTTTGGCAGGATCTTATAATGCTGAACCTACACACACCACAGTGGCCTGCAATTTCACTCCGAGGCATGTACCCAAAGACACGCAAATGTACTAGACCGTTTGTAGCAATACAACTAACAATCATCTAAAACAGCGGTTCCCCACGGCGTCACATCAGAGTGGATGAATGAATGAAGGGACGGCCTCCTGGTGCCATGACCCAGCAAGAAGAACCAACGAGCTACACGGTAGGCAGCCACGTGGCCTGACCTCATACTTGAAAGATGAGCAAAGAAAGATTTGGAAAAAGACTCAAAACATGGTATGATTCCATTCCTGCCTTGAGTGCAAAACTATTCTTTGCAGGTAGAAGGTGGGATAGTGCTTACCCTTGTGGGCTGGGTAGTAAATGAAGGGGACGCTGAGGGGCTCTGGAAGACCAGCTGTGTTCTGACTGGGAACTGGATGCCTGAGTGCTCAGCATGTGCAAATTCTGTAAGCTGCACACTTACAGAATAGAGCACTCTTTTCTATGCATATACTACCATTAAAGTTTTCAAAAGAGCCGGGTGCAATGGTGCACACCTGTAATCCCAGTGGCTTGGGAGGCTGAGATGGGAGGATTGTGAGTTCAAAGCCAGCCTCAGCAACTTAGCAACTCAGTGAGGCCCTACTCATTTTTATTAATAAAAAATTTTAAAAAACGTCTAAGGTTGTGGCTTAGTCGTTAAGTGCCCCTGGGTTCCATCCCTGGTATCCTTCCCCAATAACAAAAAAAGTTTTAAAAAGCAATTTCAATTTATGTATACTGATAGAGAAGGCTCTCCAAAATACATAAATTTAGGGGCTGGGGATGTGGCTCAAGCGGTAGCGCGCTCGCCTGGCATGCATGCGGCCCGGGTTCGATCCTCAGCACCACATACAAACAAAGATGTTGTGTCCGCCAAAAAAATAAATATATATTAAAAAACAAAAACAAAAACAAACAAACAAAAAAACCCCAAAATACATAAATTTAAAAAGAACTAGGGTAGAGAACAAAGTGTATTCGATATACAGTATACAGTAGCAATACAGATTCATAAGGATGCACTTACACATATTCATGAACAAAAAGGAAACATATAAATGCACGTTCATATGCTTATGTATATTTATATTTGTACATGCAGATATATATATATATATATATGATTTCTTGGAAGGAAAATTGGGGAGAAAAAGAGATTTTTGTTACTTTCTATACTTCTGTCCTATTTAAGGTTTTATGATGTACCCATGTGCTTTTATAAAAATGAGCAGGAATAGAGTGTCCCAGGGGTGGGTGAGGTGCCCTACCTGGCAGAGTTTGGAGATAAGGCTGTAGGTCGGAGGTCACTGATTTATCAATCATACTGCAAATCTGAAAAATAAAAAATAAATAAATAAAATTGGGTAGAAGCAGCCTGAGTGTTTCCAGCTGTGGTCCCCTGTTCTCACAGCTTTGGAAACATTGTTTCACGAGTTTGCACAGCGATCATTCACTCTGCATATATTAAAAAAGTGCTGATCATGCACCAGGCACTGAGGAAAGATGAATGATAAAACAATAATGCAGGTCCTTGGGGACTCCAGAGGGCCCAGCTGGACTTTTTAAGGCCTGTGCCCAATGCAAGACATCTGAGTGATGGGAGGGCACGGGCTGGAGACGCTGCTGGAAACTCCCTTATTGAGGACTTTTTTCCCCCCCTTGGGAGGCTCTGGCCTCTGAGAAATCAGAATCTAGTAGCAGATCTAGAGAGCAGCTAGAATGGCCCTGCACATAAATGTGTAGATAATGAGGTAATGTAGGGTTGTGGGTTTTTTTTTTTTTTTTTTTTTTTGTACTAGGGATTGAACCCAGGGCACTTTACCACTGATCTCTAGACCTTTTTATTTTTTATTTTGAGGAAGGATCTCATTGAGTTGCTGAGGCTGGCCTTGAACTTGTGATCCTCCTGCCTCAGCCTCCCAAGTTGCTGGGACTATAGGTGTGTGTCACCAAGCCAGGTGTGAGGTTATATCCTAACTTCCCTTTGCAACTGCCCCTGTTTCTGGAGAAGGAGGTTACCCAGGGGGGAGCTGCCAGAAAGCAGAGAAAGGGGTGGTGGGGTTCCTGCAGGACTGCTGGGAAGCAGGCCTCACCTGGGATGATTCTTTCCTTGTTCACCTTGGATAGCCTTCCATCAGACTAGCCCCCCAACCCTGAGCCTGGGTGTCCCCTTCCTTCAGGAACCTGAAGGATTGGAGAGGCATGGGGGGCCTCTGTCCCATGTGCACAGGAGGGGTTCCTGGGGAGGCAGGGTGCGGGTGGTTGAGGGAGCAGCGTTGAACAAGCTTGGGTTCAAGTTCTACTTCAATCCCTTTGCTTTGGGGTCCCCACCCACAGGATCCGATGAGCACAAGTGCTTCCCAGGGATAGGGTGAGAGAAGGTGGCCGTGAGTGTGCATCACACAGAGTTCCTATGCTTCTTGCCTCTGCTGGTTCAGAAACCAGGCCCCACCCCGAGGGGGGAATCAGCACGGTCCTGAACCAGGCTCCTGGGAGGAGGTTTCTAAGGACCCTCAGGATCAGGGTCCAGGGAGATCCCCAGCTTTCCCACCCCCAAGCTCCTACAAAGCCTTTGGCACAGGGGGCTCCACATCCCAGGGAGATCCTAGCCTAGCCTCCCGGGAGACAGGTATCCCCTGGAAAGTTACTCCACCTCTCAGAGCCTCCTCTGTCAAATGTGTAAAGTGGCACTGACTTCAGAAGGGGAGGTTAAAGTTGGGTGTTGTGGTGCCTGCCTCTATTCCCAGTGACTCAGGAGGCTGAGGCAGGAGGGTTGCAAGTTCAAGGCCAGCCTCAGTGATTTAGCAAGATCTGGTCTCAAAATGAAAAATAAAAAAGGGACTAGTAATATAGCTCAGTGGTAAAGTGCCCCTGGGTTCACTCCCCAGTACTGAAAAAAAAAAAAAAATTGAGGTCAAGATCCAGGAGGCTGCATGTCCCAAGTGTTTAGTTCATTATTCCTGGCTAAAACACAGGCTCAAGAAACAGCAGCTGTTTTTTTATAAATGCAAATATTTATGCAATAACATATTTCACATTCCTTGTTTTCATTTACAAAAATTATTATATTACTTATTATTGTGATAACTATTATAATTAATCATAACATATTACTGTTGTTGTATAATATTATTTCTAATTAAAACCATCATCAACTGGGGAGTGTAAGTTAGTAATATGGCAACAGGGGCCTAAGTAGGAGGCTGGCATATTTCTCAAGTTCACTTAGACCCCACAAGCCCAGAACTAGAAAAGAAATATCAGTGTGGGGTCTGCCTGCCATTTCTAATTCAACCACTAGGGGATGCTCAAAGCCAAACCAGAGGTTAGACCTGCAGCAAGGTGTGTGTGTGTGTGTGTGTGTGTGTGTGTGTGTGTGTGTGTTTGTGTGTGTTCCCCTTTCCTCCTTCATCTTTTCTCCTTCTCTAAGCTGTGTTTTAGGCATAGCTCTGGTGTGCAGTACCTCAGAAATGGGATTTTAAGGTGAAAGTGTTGGAGGTGCTGAAAATTAATGAAATCTGAAGTGAACCCTTTTTTTTTCTTTAGTATTAGAGATTGAGCCCATTGAACCCAGGGGTGCTTTACCACTGAATTATATCCCTAGCCCTTTTTAAATTTTATTTTGAGACAGGTCTTGATAAGTTGCCCAGGCTGGCCTTGAACTCTTGATCCTCCTGCCTCAGCCTGCACAGCAGCTGGGATCACAGGCGTGTGCCACTGAGCCCCACTCACATAATTTTTTTAACAAAAAAAATCTGACCTGGTGTCTCTGCCTCCCCATGCAGGACAAGGGCTCAAGGGCTTGTCCGTTTTCTTCCTGGTTTAAGTGCTCTCTGAAGAGACCTGCCTGGTCTCCTCAGGCACTGTGTTGACTTCCTTCTTGACTTTGGGGACTGCAGGACAGTGTGGGGCAGTGAGCAAGGCCAAGCAGGGGGAGGGCTGGGGTCTCCTTGCTCCCACCTCTCCGATTCTCCCTTGGCCAAGCATTTGACCATTTTTGGCCTAACCAAATGGACTTGGAATTCAGAGACCTGCGTGTTGTCCCAGCTCTACCACATATCAGCTCTGGGACTAGGATGAGTTATTTGTTCTCCCTCAGGCCATGGGCCCATGCATGTCCAAACAAGGCCCCATGGCCCCAACTGGGGCCAGAGCCCTGTGAGGACACCCATGGCCCTCGCCTGGCTCCACAGGCATCTGGTGGCCTTGACCTGCTTACCTTGGTTTCCAACATTTTTCGAAACTTGGACTCGATCTGGTCATGGAAGAGTTTCAGCAGCCACCTGGCAGGAGAGCACAGTGCACAATTGGTCTCTGGGCAGCAGGGGAGCCAGGCCCTGCCCATCTTGTGCCCTGCTGAGCCCCAGAGTCCTGGCACACCCCTCCTGGCTCCCTGCATCTGGCTTTCTAGCTACAAGCTGTGCCATGATCAAGTTCAGTGGCTGGTGGCAGTGTGGGTGGGTGGGGGTAGTGGCAGTGTGGGTGGGCAGCGGGTGGTCTCAAGAATCCATAATATTCTGAGCAAGTGAACTGAGACTCTGAGAGAGGAAATGCCTGGACGGTGGACTTGGGTATTTTTTATGCTCCTCTTTAGCCAAGAGCCTCAGTATCCACCAACAGCCAGATTTCATTTGCTTGACAGTTCCCTAAATTATGTTGTTCGTGGAAACGACACAAGAGCATCCTGGCTCGAATCTGCATCGGTTCTTTGCAATAGGAAGCCCCTGCATTATTCCCCGTGCTGGGTGAGCCTCCCACCCGGCGGTTCTCCGTTCTCAGGGCTGGGCTGGGGGCTGGGTGGGGCGTGAGCCGTACCCAGGGGTCCAGCTGGCAGCGTCCGGATGGTGACTCACCTCAGATCTCCCGAGATGTCCACATCCAGATCACGGATGTGGCTGCTGCAGCTGGAGGTGGTGACTGTGGGCCTCCCCGAGTCCTCGCTGCCCAAGAGCAGTGTGACGGAGATGGTGATGCCCTTGACGTGCACGTTGAAGTGGCCGTCCATCTTCCTGGAAGAGACGAGAGGAGCCACGGCTGTTTTCCAGGCCAAGATCTGCCACCATTTGGAGAGGAAGTAGAAAGCTCGATTTTTTTCCCTCCAAATCAGTGGAGCTGAGCACAGATTTAAGATTGAATAATAAACAAGAAAGATTTAACAAGTAGAAGATCTGGAAGAAAGCCCGGGGCCAGTATTTATAGTCAGGGACGGACACAGAGATTTCTATCGTGATCCAGCTCTACTGAACCATAAAGGAAATGACGGACAAACTCACAGGCATGGAAAATTAGAACTTCAGTGAATAAAAAATGCAATATACAAAGTAAAAAAAAATCATATCATGGGACAGTCAAGAGCTGATTTCCTTAATAGACAAAGAACAAGTTAATAAGGAAAGGATGAGATGACTGAAAATAACATTTAAATAATCAAAGAGATGAATAGCATGTTCAATGGCAAATAAGCATAGGGACATAACGACGAGGCCAGGGTTCACCTATGAGACCAAAATGAAGTCTTATTACCTAGTGCCGTGAAGACATGGGAGACAGACCCTGCAGATGTCTGTCTGGTGTCTCCCGCTGGGGTTGGGAGGGCACCTGGGCACCACTTTCCCAAGACACCCAGCAGGATGGATCCTAATTCGGACACACCTATTCTTTGGCAATTTCCCTTCTAAGCCTGATCTTGTGGCTCTTCCTGCCCAGAAGGAAGAGAGGGGCAGCTCACTTTCAAAGCATCATGGGTAATGACAAGAAATGAAGGGACAACCCAAGGGTCCATGAGTAGCAACGGGTTGAGTAAGTTGTGGGCATCCACGCTCTGCCGCCTTTAGCAACCTGGGGCCAATCCTGCAATGGAACCACATTCATCATAAACCCCCCTAAACCAAAAGAACAAAGCCTAGTACAAGCTATGCTGTGGGTGAGCCTCAAAAATATGCTGAAGGAATAGGGAGACTCCCGGAGACAGCATGCAGCTTGGGGGTTCCCTGGGGCTGGAGGCAGGGAACCGTAGAATAACTGTTGAAAGGCAGGGAGGTTTTTTCCTCGAGGTCACCTGGCTGAGAATGGCCAGCTCTTCTGCTATGGCCTGAATTGTGTCCTTCCCAAATTCACACGTGGAGGTCCTGAACCCCAGTACCTCGGAAGGTGACTGTATTTGGGGAGAGAGATGTCTGTGCTAAGAGGCCCCCGGCCGGGCTCTACTCCGGTCTGACTGGTGTCCTTATAAGAGGAGATCAAGACACAGGCTTCGAGGTCAGAGGAAAGACCATGAGGACCCGGACAGCAGGTGCCATCTGCAAGCCCAGGAGGGAGGCCTCAGGAACAGGCCTGCCCACTCCTTGATCTAGGACTTCCAGCCTCCTGGACTGAGAAGGTTCTATGCGGGACCGGCTGGCTGCTCCTCCTGGACCCTTGGTGGTCAACATACCTTCTGTCCAAGCTTCTCTGAGGTCAGAGAACTGATCAAAGTGCGGAGGGTGGGTGGCCCTGAAGATGGCCTTGCCTAACGGCACAGGAAGATGGGGTAAAGCGGCTGAGCTGGGGTAACYCGGGGCGTGTCTGCGGCTCCCCACCCGCTGCCTTCCCAATCACACGCCCCTGACCAGGCCCACTTCCTTCCCCGCCAGGCTTCCCCCCTCCCCGCTATGGACTTTGGCTCAGAACACACCCCCAGATAAAGCCGCACCTAGGTCTTGCCTCGGGGGTCTGGGGGTCTTGGTGGGAAGTTCACGCGGCCCCAGGGGGCAGGCCTGGCCCCTTTAGGAGACAGAGGCCATGCCTCCAAGTGCCAGGGTTTGAACCCCTGTCTACTCTGGGGCGTGGGCTCCCTCTGTCCATTAAGTGGCCTTTGATGAACCAGGAACACTTTGGATTCAAGAACGGATGAAGGCCCAGGGAAGGGCCCGAGGACCTGGGCGCAGAGCCAACTTACAGGAAGGACATGCGCACCTTCCACCTGCCCTGGACCTGGACGGAGGAGTCGGAGATGGTTAGACTCAGGCCCTTGCCCACCAGGGGCTTCAGAGCAGAGCCGCTCAGCTCACAGCTGGGGATGTCCAGGCTGCAGGGAGAGACACAGAGGGCGGTGTCAGTGCTGGGCCTGGACCCCGCCCCACCAGGGACTTGCTCCCTCCCTGCCCCAGGGGACTCCCACCAGTGGGACCTGCTTTCAACAAGCACCTGGTTCCCATCTCCTGAGCACCTGCCCGTGCCAGGCACGGAGTGTGTGACATGCCAAGCACCCTCCTCTGTCATTCAGGGGCGGACACAGATTTTATTCTCCCCTACAGAGGACGAACTAGAACCCAGAGGGAGAGACGCCATTACTCAGTCAGGATTAGACCTCACGGATCTCAGGGTCCAGGGTAGTGTCTGCGGTGGGGCCCAYAGACATACCCCTGGGCTTGCAGCTCCTTCCCCAACACCCCCTCCCTCAACCCACCCAGGCGGGGGAATCGAACTGAAGGAGAACCGAGGCCACCTCAAGAGGAGGCACTGAGGATTGGGAAGAGGCCATCCTTGGGGAAGAATGGTCAAATGCATCTTCCTTGCCTGGCACATAATAGGAGCTCAATAAATGTTTGCTGACAAACTTAATTTAAGTACGAAGATAGGRATGAAGCAGTCAGTCTGACCACTCTCCCTCCATGGAGTATCTTTCAAAAAGCCCTTCGCGCCTCTTCTCAAGCAGAAGCGGCTCCTGCCTGCTGACCCTGGGAAGGCTTGACCCAACACCAGCCCCCATCTAGGAAACGCAGCAGTAGGAGTTGGGCTACTGTTTTTAACGTTTGTCTAGTTTCCCTTCTGGGCTATTGGATCCTGGATCATCACTCTAAGGGGGGGAAGCCGCATCGACCCATTTTGCAGATAAGGAAAGTGAGGCTGAGGTCACACAGCCAGTAGGTTTTCTTTAATATTTGGCGTGTAAGTCCTCTCTTCGGAACTCCTTGAAGAATTATCCATTGTGTGCTCCAAAGAGGTCCCCCCCGCCCCCGTCCAAGCCTGGGGTTCTGTCTCCCTCCCTCCCCAGAGACCTCCCCAGCCACCCAGGAGCTCCAGAGAAGGAAGAGCATCACCTGTGAAACTCATAGTGCCCCCGGCCCACATGCTTGATCCTGAAGTCCCCGAAGAAGTCAGGCAGTTTGGTCTCACGCAGCTTCTTYTGCAAGGTCACCAGCCCCTCTCTGGCCGCTGTGGACAGGGGAAAAAAAAAAAAAAAGAAGTGGCTTGGTCTGCCTGCTTCCCTCCCCTGCTCTAAACTCTTCAGTGGCTCCTACTTGCCCTGGGGAGAATTATGAACTTCTTAGTACTAGTCACAGTTCCGGGTTATGGAGTCCCTCTGTGCCAAGTAACAGAGAAACCCTCGGGGYGTCCCTATATTCCATATGTTGGGGTGTATAAATACAGGATAACTCCAAGGCTTTGTTTAGCATCTTTTAAAACAATAGTCTAACTTTTACCTGTTCTTTAAAATCAGGAAATAATATTCGTAAAATACCTGAATAAGCCTCATCTTTAAGGTATTGCTAAGTATAAAACAGGCCCAGCAACCACCACCCAGTGCCGCACGGAGCCCTGCCCCCAGTCTCTACAGGTAACTGCCATCTGACAAATCTTGGTCCCCATCCGCTGGTGGGGAACCCAGCTAATATAAGTAATGTGCCCAAGTCACAGAGCTGGCAGGTGGCCAGGCCAGAATCCCAGCCAGAGCTGCCTCCTCCGACCCCCAACCTGAGGGGCAGAGCAGTCTGGGCCCAGGGCAGGCTGGTGTTGGGTGCACTGGCTCCGGCCACCAGGCAGCTTCTTACCATACTCCAGGCCTTTGTCAGTGATCCTGGCCACCAGGCCCGGGTTGGTGCCCAGAGCCCCTAGGGCAGGTGTGAGCAGGATCCCCAGCAGTGCGGCCAGCAGGGCCCTGGCCAAGGCCCCCATCCTGGATTCTCAGCAGAGTCAGCCTGGACTGTCACAGGTGGGCTGGGCCTGGCTCTCTTAAGTAGCCAAGGCCAGAGGGCCAGGGGCGGTTCCGGAGGGAGGGCGGGCTTGTGCAAGCGGGAAAGGGAGGCACAGGGACTGGAACCTGTTGCGACACTGTGGGAGCGTTGTGGTCACGGTCACACTTAGACGCCTGCTATTGCTGCTGGGGTTCGAAGCAGGCATGGGCTGGTCCCAAGTGGTGACCCTGCCTCGCCTCCCCACACAAAACTCCACGTCATCAGAGGTCCTGTCCCCCCCGCCCCGCCCAAGGCCCCTCTCCTAAGAGGTCCGCTGGGAAAGCTGGAAGGTACCGGCCCGGAGACCAAGGCTCAGAGGGCCTCTCTGCTCACTCAAAATCGCTGGGAGCTTCCTGTCTGGGCACAGGCTTTTGCAGCTCACGGTGTGCTACGTACTGGAATGCAACTTGGCAAATCTTTAAACATGAATCCCCAGCCCACAAAAATCACCACCAACAAAAAACCTCTTTACACAGCCGTGTGCCCTCTGACCCAGCAATCCCGCCTTTGAACTTGTCCCTCGGTACATAATGAAGTCAGGTGCTAACAGGTCACTGCACTGGGTGCCTAGTGTTGGGACAATAGGCAGGGGGAGTGAGACCCAACCTGAGGTGTCCAGGAAAGGGCCTCGGTTGTGTGAATTATGAGCCAGCCATTTAAAGTGGGGTTGCAGAAATACATGCATCTCTTGATAAGGAAAGAAGTTCCTGAGCCATCAGTTTCCAATGGCACCAGACAGTAAGGGTCTGAGTCTTTGATCAAAATCAGTCTGGGAGGAGCTAGGAGGGGTTGGGTGGGTAAGATCATGGATATTTAAAAACTCTTTTTGCTGAGCATATATTGCATTTGCAGTGAGTAAAGATAATGAGATTTTATTTTGGAAAACAAAATTATACTGGGGATTATATTTGATTTTTGGAGTTTTGCTCTMGCATTCTCTATATTTGTGAGTTTTGTTCTGCCTCTGCCACCAGGAAGACTTCTGTGACTACCTCCATGTGTCCTTGGGTTAGAGGAAGGTCCCAGAATCCTTTACACTTTTTCCAGCAGAGTGTTAACCTCTTTCTGCCTTTTAGTAATTGAGGTCACTTAGAAATATGCTCACAGGGGCTGGGGTTGTAGCTCAGTGGTAAATCACTTGCCTTGCATGCATGAGGCACTGGGTTTGAATCTCAGGACCATCTAACAATGAATAAATAAAGATATTGTGTCCATCTACAACTAATATATATATATATATATATATATATATATATATATATATATATATATATATACCCACAAATTCTCTGACACTCCATTCATCCAAAGGGGAGGTGTCTGTCCTCTTCCTGTGTTTGGGAGGGCTTTGTGTCTGTCTGAGATTGAATGTGGTGGAGTCACAGAGTGGCTTCCCAGTGGTTCACAGTAGGCCATGGGGTCAGGATCAGAACTTTCCCTGTTCTGCACAAGGAACTACCTGGGCCTCTTGCTCCTCTGTCTCTGGGGCTGAGGTTTGTGGGGGCCTTTGTTCCCTGACCCCCATCCCACCAGCCTGGTTGCTCCTGGACTGAGCCTTCTGCACCCCCTCAGCAGGAGCCAGAAGGACATGGATGCTCATTGAGCACCTACTATGTGCAGGTTAAGCCTCACACACCTCTCATCTCTCCTGCAGCCTGCTCAGTGGGGATTCGAGTCTCATTTTCAGATGAAGAAAGGGAGGCTCTGAGGGTGAAGCCCTGCAGGCTACTGTCATCAGCAGGGACTTGAGCCCAGGCCTGCAGGATGCCACTCCAAGATGGTGGTTAGGGAGGGCCTCTCTGGGTGGAGCCCATGCAGAGTGAGTCCCTGAGGATGAGGAGGAGCTGGCCTTGGAGGAGCTGTTCCCCACCCAGCAAGGACAGAGGCCTGGGAGCAGGAAAGGGCTCAGGTGTGCCCCAGTGTGCCTTGGGGCCCCTGCTCCCTGGACCTCAGCCTACGGGGGAAAGCCACCCTGCCCAGCCCTGTCCCACGACCCTGTGTGGCTGCAGAGGGCTTCCTCCTTGGGGCTCAGCTCTCCCATGTCAAATGTCAGGACAGAGCAGGTGGCTCCGTGGGCCCTTCTAGCTGGGAGAGTACGAGAGAGGACCCCTGGAGAGTAGGGACTTTGTGGGAATGTCACTGTCCTTCCTGGCAATTTGAGGATGTCCCTAGATGAAGGCCACTTACAGGGCTGGGAATTTCCCACAGCCGTGACCTTCGGACCTTAGCGCTGCCCCACCATGTCCCCTGAGGCCCAGGCCAGGCCTCCACCCCCGCAGGGCCTGACCATTCATGGCTGGTGACCCAGGACCCAGCAGAGGCCCTGGGGAGCAGCATGACCCCAGTGCTGGTCAAAGCCCAGGTCCTTTCCTTTACCAGACTGTCCATCCATGTCTGCAAAAGGGACAGCTGTCATGCCAGGCACCGTGGCATGCACCCGTGATCCCAGGGACTCAGGAGGCTGAGGCAGGAAGATCGTAGCTCAAGGCCAGTCTCAGCCACTTAATGAGACCCCATCTCAAAACTGAACGACAAAAAGGACTGGGGACGTACCTCAGTGGTAAAGTTCAATCCCCAGCATCAAATAAATGAAATGAATAAATCAACAGGATGAAACTGACCGAATTATAGTTACATTGTGGGGATGCACAAACATGGAACATCAAATCTCACTGTCATAGATGGTTACATGCTAATAAAAAGGAAAATGAAAAGTGAAACACCAAAAAAAATTAAATTAAAATAAATAAATAAGAATGGCCGGTGGCATCAACAGAAACGCCTCCTGTGGCCAGGAGGAAGGGCGCTTTTTTCGCCAAAGATGGTGGTCAGTTTCTTCTGACTGCAAAAGTGTTGGGTGAAAATCCGGAATTTGGAACCTGCAGTGCCTGGAATGCTGAACAGCACACAGTAGGWGATTGTTGAGGGAACGAATGAACTTGATGTTTAACTTGGTGGACTCTGGTGCCCATGGCCTAGTTTGCAATTCTGACTCCCCTCGTGGGTGTCCTTGGGCCCTCTGTGACTCAGTTTCCTCATCCATAGTTGGGCTTAGCCAGAGGGCAGCATGACAAGAGGTCAGAGGTCAGGGCACCTTCTCTGATCACTCCTCTTGGATGAGTTCTGGAAAGAGCTGTGCAGCTGTGTGTGCACCCCACCCATACCCCTGGCCCATGGCACCTGCCTTCAYTGGGTGCTTGTCCTGCCAGGTTTCTTTACTGCGCATGTCCCCAGCTCTGCAATCAGCCCTTCATGCAAACCCCAGCCAGTCTTGGAGCTGGGTTTGGGTCCTGCCTGGACTCTGATTGACAGGCTTAGGGATCTTTAGCAGCAGGTGTCTTCCTCTCGGGGACAGCTTGGAATTCTTTTCCAAAGTCCCACAGGGACAGTAGACTGCTGAAGACAGGATTCAGAACACACAGCTCTCTGTGTTCTGCCAGGTCCTGGGGCCACTGAGGCAGCTTCATGGAGAGGCACGCTGGCTGGAGCTGGAAGGTCACATGGAGGTTTTGCTGAGGCGGGAGGGAAGGGCAGGTCAGGGAGGGCGAGTTAATGTCAAGGCCTGGGAACAAGCAGGTCTGGGTCCCTCTCAGGGCTCTGCTCCTGCCAGGCCGTGGGACCTGGGGACAATTCCGCTCCTCCTGGTCCCCCCAGTGCAAATGAGGGCCGAGGACTAGAACTGTGGCTGGGGAACTATGATGTGCCAGCAAATCCCCCAGAGATCTTATTTAAATGCAAATTCTGACTCACAGGGTTCCTGCATTTCTAGTATGCCTGATGCTACTTCTAGAACTGGGCAGCAGGTTCCCTCCTAGCCCAGCGATTCTGTAACCCTGCTTCAAGTTCAATGCACTTTTCTAAGATGGGGCCCACACTCCTGAGAACACGAGCTCTTGCTGGAAGATGATAATCCTAGGAAGACCCTCGGCATGGATCGCTGCATGGTGTTTCGGGGTTAGGGGTTTGACTCTGCAGATCTACGCTGGCACCCAAGCTCACATGCAGGCACCTGCTCGGGACCTTGAGGCATGTAGATTTGCAAAATATAAATAGTAACGCCACTGGTAATCCAGCAAGGTTTGCAAGTTGTGGACATCTACCTGAGATGCTAGGAGACCCCACGAGCAGGGCTGGCCACCCAGATCCGCAGCCCCTCACGCCAGAAAGAAGTTAAGGAACCCGAGGCTCCTTCCCTCCTCCTAACCTCCTCCTTCTGCTCTTTGTCCCTGAAATTGGCAGCATCTGAAATCACAGCACTGGTTTCATTTTACTGAATTTTGATGGCTTTGGGGCCCCGAAGGAGCTTCTGTTAAAATGGAAATTTCTCAGCAAGAAGAAATTGTTACTGAACTGTGAGGAAGAGCAGTCCTATAACTGGGGGGCGGGGGGGGGGCTGATTCCCGAGCCAGGCTGGTCCAGGCAGATAGTGCTGGGCATATCTGGGTCCCTGACAGAGGCTTTGGGTCACGCCGATGTGGAATCAACTCCTAGATCACTGTTTTGTTTATATTTACAGCACTGGGCATTGAACCCGGGGGTGCTTTCCCACTGAGCTGCATCCCCTGCCCTTTTTATTCTTAAAAAATAAATAACAGGCTCTCCCTACATTGTCCAGACTGGCCTGGATCTTTCAATCCTCCTGCCTCAGCTTCCTGAGCCGCTGGGATTACAGGAGAGTGTCACTGTGCCTGGCTAACTCCTAGGTCACTTTAAAAATTCATATTTATGTGGCAGGCTTTGGGAATACAGTTGTGACAAGCCAGATATCATCCTTAGAGTATGGTGAGAAGAATGGGGCTTATGAATATTTAGAGCTAACTCAGATCATCCCTGTCAACTCCTGTCCCACAGATTTCCCATGCATTTGATTTCTCTTAACAGTAGGTACTATTCTCCTGCTTGCTCTACAGCTGAGAAAATTGAAGACCAGAGTGCCCAAGGTCACACAGCATGAAACAGCAGAGCTGGGGTTTGCAAGTGAGGATTCTGGGAACACAGCTCACACTCTTCATGACTGAGTTGCGAGCTTGTCATCTGAACCAGTGATTCCTCCTGTGACCTCATGCCAAAGAGGAGGGCGAGAGTTTATTTTATTTTTATTTTGAAGTGGGGTCTTGCTATATTGCTTGAACTCCTGGGCTCCTGATCCTTCCTCAGCCTTAGCATGTTGGTACATGCTAACTGGATCGATAGCGTGTACCAACAACCCCCCCCCCAAAAAAAAAATCTGAGGCTGAGATTTTCTCTTTCCTTTGCAGAGGAGGAAAGAGGACCAGGGTCTAAGTAGCTCACGTAGGTCATGCAGCCTGTGGGGGCTGATGTTTGAAGCCAGRTCCAAGTGACTCCATCACTGGAATTTGGAACACTGAACTGAGCCACTGGGCAGGCCATGTGACCTCTGTATGGACTCTTCTGGAGAATGACAGCCACCCTGTCTACCCTTGGAGGTTGTCATGAGGATTAAATGGGATAATTAACCCGAAGAGATGGAAGCAGGACAGGGCTGATCACCGCCACTAATGGAGTCCAGCAACATGGCAAACCTGGGGTCAGTGTCCCTGTGAGCTCTCCCCTTCCCTCCCACTAGAGGGCACCTCCCCTCACATTTGATAAGTCAGCACTTCCAAAAGGCACCGCAAGAGGGCGATGCTTGCTCATCAGGAAGCTGCTGTGACCATGAGCTTCCAGGCAATCCTGGGTGGACACTTTTAGAAGCATTTTATTTCATTTTATTTTGCAACTTTATTGACATACATTTTAGATGCCATAACATTCACTCATTTAAAGTGTCCAGGGGCTTTTTGTGTGTTCACAGAGTTGTAAAACCAACCCCACCATCTAACTTTAGAACCCCTTCAACGCCCCCAAAGAAACCCCGTGCCCATTAGCAGGCACGTGGAGCAGGCGGTGATCGGCCTGAAGGAGAAGCTGCTCTAATCGTGGGATTGGAGGCTGCTTGGAAGATCCCCTGGGGCACATGGGGGTACGTGCCACAATCCAAACCCGCAGTGACCATTATTTCCTGCCATGGGAGAGAGGTTCCCGTGGGAGAGCATGTTCCACTCCCCAGTCATCGGGTCCAAGATCTAATTGCATTTGTTGTATACAGCGTGGGGCAAGAGCTGCCCACGTGTTCTGGAGAGCAGAGGGGAGGTGCAGGAGAGCTCCAACTACCTCCAAGAGGTTCACAGGAGGAGGTCGGGGTGGGGGAGGCAGCAGGGTCKTGTCTCTGTACCTTGCAGCTATTCTTCCACAGCAGCCAGAGGAGGCTTTCAAAAATGGGAATCCGATTGTCTCATTCTTGTGCTCAAAGATCTGATGCCTTCCCCTATCTTTGGGTGCTGAGAGCCATTACCAAGTAGGAATGACGCATCGTAATCCTTGCCAGCGTACCCCATGTGAAATGGACTTGCCTTGTAAATTTGCTCCGACCTTGCTTGTGTGTTTGAGAAAGGTGACCCTGCTCAATCACTAGGGTGGATCCAGGATTAGGGTGTATTCCTGCAGGAAGTATCCCCGTCCTTGGGCTTAGGGCGTGACAATAGGAGTTTTAGGGAAGTTGGAGGTTGAAGATTATTCCTGCTGGGAGTAGGGCGTGCCTGCTGCGGAGTTCCCGCTGAGTCCTCGTGGAGAAAAAGTATTTAGGACGTGTATTGTGGGGGAGATAGGAGAATTTTCCCCTGAACGTGTGTGGAGGCTGGTGTGAGATTGGGAATAAAGAATTGCTGTTTGAACCTACAAAGCTGTGTGGTGGCTCGTGATCTTGTGCCAAACCGAGACATTGGCATTTGGGGACAAAACTCAGAGTCATCATAGCCTCCCAGACTCATCATGGCCTCCCAGACTCATCCCAAGTCATGCTTCCCTTTGCTCTCTTCCGGCTTCACTGGCTGCTCTCCTGGTCCTGTTCAGGGCCTACACCAGCCTTTGGCAAATAGAAACAGGGGGACCCTCTTGTTGGACAAAGGAGAGGGAATTTTGCTTCCCCGAGACTGGTGCCTTTTTATAGTGTACAGCCTATGCAACTGAACACAGAAGTCCTGCCTTAAACACACCAAACCCCTGAAGAAACAGGATTTTGACATCCATGAAGGAGTGAAGAGAGTATGGGCTCTGATGACAAAGGGATAAGAATCCCAGCTTTGCCACTTGCCAGTTGTTGATGTGGGGAGAATGATTCAATTTAAGAGGACCGAGCAAGTCCCCCCTGGGAAGATGTGCTGGCTCCCATGAGTGTTTGGTCAATAGTCCTCCTTCCCGCGTGGCCCTAGAGCCTCAACTCCATTTAGCAAAAACGGATGATAACTGACCTATGTGTATTAACATATCTTTCATCTGCTTTTCTTAGGTACAAAGGCACCTCTCCATCCTCCCCACCGCCAGCCCGGCTGAAGTCCAAATAACAGATCAGGTTCCTAATTAGCACCGGCTCCTTTCCATTCGTATCCTTCCAAAGCTTCCAGATGGCACAAAAGTACCATTTTGGTAACTCAATTTGGTGGTGTCTTCCTCCACGCCCCCCACCTGCTTCAACCCATTAGGTGTGTTCTTGCAGGTTCTAGTTTCAGATCAAACATCCCCAGCTCAGAGAGGCCTCCCAGGACTGCTGGACTGGCAGGAAGTCCATCTAATGGCTGGGATGATCCCACTGGTGTCCCATGGCAGGAAATGCCACCCCCTGCACACACCAGGACATCCATCACAGGCCCAAAGCAGTCTGGGCTGGTGATCTGGCTTCCATGTCAGGGGAGAGTTGTGGGGAAATGCACCCAAGGATGGCCTGTCTTCCCAGGCCCAGTGTTCCATAGTGGGCACCATGACAGGGCAGAAGGGCTTGGACCAAGGGAGCCATCACTTTGGGCTGGAGCCCAAAGGCACTGCGGGAAGCCAGGCTGTGCAGGACAGCTGTTCAACAGCGACACCGTGTGGTGATGACAGGAACCGCATCCCCACGTTGGCTACACAGGAATAAGCTGTGCAAGATCATCATTAAACAGCCACACCTTATGGCAATAGCAGGAACAACAATGAGCTGACCCTGGGAAGCGCCCTCCCTTTGGACTAAGAACCCCAAGAACATTTGGGGTACAGGGGACTTTCTGCTCATGTAAACATGGCGGGGGACTCAAGATATTAGTCATGGAAATGAAGAGGCAATTGTATCTGAGCTGTACATTGGCGTTACAGGCCATGCTGTTATAGACAGTGAATGAATGAATGAATATTAAAAAAAAACAAAAAACATAGTACCAACACACAAAATCACAGAAAAACAAAGGTGTTTGTTTTGCCTTTTTTTTTTTTTTTTTTTGGAAGGGGGAAACCCAAAGAGAAATATTACAGTTACAATCAAAACATGATTCCTGGAGGATACATTGTGAAGACGACTTTGACAGGTGCCCAGAAACCTTGAAATACGCAYCACACTCTTTTCCAATGATCAGGCTCCCCATGTTTAAATCATTTCTGGATCTGAGTTCGGAGAAATTTGCAAGGGGCTCTCAATCAAGATCTAGCTAGGATTCCCTGGAGAAAGGTGGCCCCTACCCCGCTGTACCCCCGATGACCTCACACAAGGTTAACGTCGGCTCCGAACTGCAGGAAATTCTGGGGAGAGACGGGAGTGTTGTCAGCAGCTGGAAKCGAGTTTGGGGGCGGCTGCGTTTTTAAGAGGGAGGCTTTGGAAGCCTGCCTGTCGGGCTGGAGAGAGCCACGCGGGGCCTGTCTGCTGCCAGAACCATGGAAGCCAGCGGGGGCACTGGGTCTGGTGCTGGGTCTCGCATCAGCAGCTGGCAGCCTGGGGATGCGCCGGCCGCCTCCCTGGCAGCTGTTTCCTTCTCTGGCGGAGACCCCCAGGCTGTTTGGGAGCCTTCATTTGTCATCCCTGCCTCGTGGCAGCTCTAGGGAGTCCCTGTTCCAATCAAGGCTGCAAAACCACTTCTCTCTGCTCCTTCATGCCCTTCACTCAGAACTTTCAGAAGTGAAGAAATTAAATTGCACCAAGAGGTCTTTTTAAAAAAACGATGAACTTGGTAAAAYGCGGGGATCGGGGAGGAACCCCTCCTCCACTCTCTGGGTTATCCCCCCCCCCAGTCCCTCAGGCCCAGCAGCTAATTGCTCTAAAGAATTAGGGGTTGACTGACTGGACACGGAGGGTAGGGGGTTATGGGGACTGAGGAGCCGGGTGATGTGGGGGCTTCCCAGGAGGGCCACATGTTGTCAGGAACGTGACACTGGGTGACAGCTTTGTGGTGGAGATAACAGCTCTGTTGGGGTGTGTTGTGGAAGGGGCCTGAGGGTGGCGGGTGGGGCAGATGGCAAGTGCCAGAGGCAGGAGTTGGGGGAAACTAAAGAGGCTGGGGAGTGGCCGGGGGCTGGGTGGTCTAGAGGTGGCAGGTGAGGTGAGGAACTCTGAGTGACCAGGGAAAGCCAACGGTGGGGGGATCTCCAGCAGGCAGGGGAGGGGGCTGGGAACAGGAGACTCCAGGAGCTGGGGAGAGAGCTGGGGAGCCAGGAGCAGAAGGGTCCAGAGACCAGGTACCCGGGACGGGTGGAGGGCAGGCTGGGCAGGAGCCAGCGGGGGCCTCCTCGGCTGCCCCTCAATCTGCCAGGCGCTGACGGCACTTCCCACCCCACCATGCCTACCCCCATGCCAGGGTTGTGAGGGCTTGGCACGGCACCAAGGATGCTTCGCGCCAACGATAAGCTGTTGCTACGGGACAGGTGATCTCGGGACACTTGGGGGACTTACCTGGTGGGACTGAAGCAGCAGGTTGTAGAGCTGGACCCGGGCAGGCATGGGGAGGGGGAAGGCTGTCTTCAGCTTCTCTGTGACAGATGGTGAGGGCCAGGGGAGGAAAGAGGAGGCCGGGGTGCCGGCTCGAGGGAGGGGCTGGCATGGGCGTGTCCCCACCATCCTGTCCTGCATAGGCCTCAAGGCACCTCCTAGGACCCGTGTGGGTGTCCACCTCCGTCCTCCCGGGAGTGCAGGGCCACTGGTGTGCGCCAGGGGGCAGTAGCTCGCAGTGGTGTGGGCAGGGCGGGGACCTGGGATCAGGGGTGTCTGCGCATGTGCGCGCAGCCTCACTGCTAAGCTGGGAGCTGGAGCTGGACGGTGGCCGGGAAGGCTCTCCCTCTCCCTCCGCTCTGGAGAATTCTAAATCCCAGTCCGTCCCTCAGGTCACTCTGCAGCTACGTGTGTCAAGGTAGGAGGCCAGATCTTACTCCATGTGATATTTGGTCGGCCTTGTTTATAGTTTCCAAATACCCAGGTCACATGTGAGTGGCCCTCCACTGTCCCGTTGCCSCTGGCTCTCAAAGGCGAGGGGCAGGTCTCCTGGAGTTCCTACAGCTTGGTGAGTGTGACCTTTCARGAGGTTAGCAGGAGACTCCAGCCTTTCTCCCAGAGTTGGAGAAAGATGGCAGCCTCTGGCTTCCGAGCTGRGATCAGACCCAAGTTCCTTCTCTCGCCTGCTCTGTGACCCGACCTAGGCCACTCAACCATTCTGCTCTTTCACTTCCTCCTGTGAAACCTAGAGATACTCACGATCCCCATCTCACTAGGACGTTGGAAGGACCGACTGAAGTACCAGCCGACATACAGGAACTTTGGGGTTCCACCCCTTTCTAGGTCAGATGCCATTTAAAGTTCATGTGGCCTCACAGCTGGGCCAGGCAGGAGGTGTCCCCTAGACCATCAACCCCACTCTCTTTCCCTAGGACTAAAAGCCAATCATTTCTCCAAAGCTTCTTACCGTTGACCCTGGGCAGCAGCACAGTGTGTACTACGTAGTCCATGACAGTCTGCAGCAACTCCACCTGGACACCAGGAGAAAGGCCCATGTGGTCAGGGCAGTAGCCCCCCAGCCCCCTGCACCCCACCCAGGAGCCTCAGCAGCTCCCAGCAAGGAAAGCAGCAGCCTGACAGAAGCCACATGATCTCTTCTGTTCTCAGCTTCCGGGTGCAAGAACCTGTTCTAAATTGTAAGGTGCATCACCTTCAACCCCACAGAGATGATGACGAAGGACACCAGCAAACCTTTGCTTTAAAAAGAGTCACTGCAGGCTAGAGGACAAATGGAATCACCCTTTTTTAAGGGCTGTTTGATCCAGTTCATCAAAAGCCTTTAAAAACCTGTGGGCCTTTGCAGCCAGCAAAGGTGCCTCCAAGGTGTTCATCCCAGGCACATGATCTAGCAAAGATGCTAACCAAAGTGAAAAAAGTAACTCCAACCATAAACTGAGAGCAATCTACATGTCCAACAATAGGGGAGTCACTTGAGAGAAATGAATGGTACATTGATGCAAGAAATCGTTAAAGTAACTTGATAATCAGCATAGAGATATGCTCACTCTATGTTTAAGTGGGGGAAAGGCTGTTACAGAAATCACAGGATGCCTTTAAAAACTTTTTTCTTTTTGGACCTGGGGATTGAATCCAGGGCCTCACACATTAGGCAAGTGCTCTGTCACTACAGAGCTATATACTCAGCCCACATAATGCCATTTTTTCCCTTTGGGGTACTGGGGATTGAACCCAGGGGTGCTTAACCACTGAACCACATCTCCAGGCCTTTTTAATTTTTGATTCAGGGTCTTACTAAGTTGGTGAGGCTAGTCTTGAACTTGTGATCCTCCTGTCTCAGCCTCCTGAGTAGCTGGGATTACAGGCATCACTAGGCCCTGTCACATCATGTCATTTTTTTAATTAAATAGGCAGAGCAACAGGTCAGGGAGGATATATTCCAAATTATGAACTAAGTGGGGGAAATATGAATGACTTTTATTTTCCATGTTTGGTAAACTTGCAGGTTCTGAATGCTCTATAGTGGATATTTTTTTTTGCTTTGGCAGTAATAAAAAAAATTCAAAACCAATATGAAGCCATCAAGATGACTGACCACAGAGGTGACATTTACAACTTGTAAATGTGTATGTTTTTGTTTTTGCAACAATTGAGTTTCCTTTCCCGGGCTGTAATTCCCTGGGCTCACAAATGTGGTGTCCTCCTTCATCTGAGTTCTGGGAAATTCACATTTTGATTTTCTGCAGAAGCAGAAGCCGATTCCTGACTCGGTGGCGCTCCCCAGGAGCGTGGGCCCGGCACTCCATGGAAGCACTCTGGGGTTGCTCTCAGGCTGGATGTGACCTCTCAGGATGGAAATGGCCAGCAGGATTTTGATCAGATTTGGAGAGGGGGTTGCCAAGGTCTGACTCCTGGGCTAGGTGGCTTCCAAGGCTTTGTGATGGGGACCTCAGGGGGCATCTCAGGGACCTAACGAGATGCTCACCAAAGCAATGAAGGGTTCAACCAGAGCCCTGCAGGGAATCCAGGCCTCGTGGCAAGACGCTGGACAAAATCCACCCCAGGGCTTCACATGTGACACAGGTGGCATTTAAGTGCCTTCTTAATATGGGTAACTGGTTCCCAGTGCCCCAGTGAGGGTCTCTGGGCGTGAGGGTCTCTGGGCAGCTCTATTTGTTGGTGACCAGTGTTTCCCAGGAAGTAACCATCCAGTTGGGCTGAGGAGATACTGTCCCCTCCACCTGCCCTTTATCGCCTCGGCAACCCACCGCTGCTCAGCCATTGTTCCCTGCTGCCCGTCTCCTCCCTACTACATAAGGTGAGCCCCTAGAGGTCCCTATCACATCGCCATAATTAGGAAGGCATCTGGCACGTAGTAGGTGCCCAATAAAGTAATTAATCTGTCCAACAAATATTTGTGGAGCAGTTTTTTTATTTTTGGGGGGGTGGGTGCCGACTGTGTGTATTTAGCCCCATTTAAGCCTCAACACACTCAGGCCAGGAAAGTCTGGGGCTAAGGAAAGGCCTGGGACTTGCCCACGGCCTCAGAGTTTGGAAGCTGGAGCAGGGACTCCATTTCACCCACCCTCTGCCAAGTTTCCACACCATTAATTCCTCTGCATTATATGCAAATGAACCAGTGGCCTCCTCAGTGAGGCCAGGAAGGAGCCTGAGAGGCCCCCCCACCCCAGGTCAGGGCAGGGGAGTGGCCCAGGCCTCAGACTCACCTGGAAGGGGCCGATGTTGGAGCGCTTCAGTTTCAGAATCAGCCTGTGAGGAGGGAGGGGACAGTGAGGCCACCAGTAGCCGGTAGTGGGCGCCCAGGTGGGGGAGGGCCGTGGGCTGAGGCCACCTGGCTTCCCACCTAGTGTCCCCCCCACCTTCCTGCGCAGCTGCTGTGCCCTCCTTTGGGAGAGGCGCACGTTCCCTGCAGAGCGGGGGCTGCTGACCCCACCTGGCCCCTGGGTACGCTGGCCACAGGGCGTGGTCCCCTGCTGCAGTCACAGCTTCAAGGATGGGCCTGGGACCCCTGGTGGCCCAGCAAGGCTTGGTCTCAAGACCGCTAGAAATACAGGGCATCAGCTGCTCTTTTCTACAGCCAGACAGGAAGCTGCACTTGGTGACAGCCTGTAGGACGTGAAGCCAGCACAGGGGACAGCAGAGCCAAGCACAGCATTTAAACACCTGCGTCCCCTCTGGCCTGAAAGTCTAGGACTTTCTGGTCCCCTGCCTTTGACAGCCTGCACAGCATTTTTTACTGTGATCTCAGAGAAAAAGGGAGATCCAGGGCTCCTTATGGAACCTACTATGTTGAATGGTGTTCCCCCACTGAATTCCTGTCCCATTCCAAAAGGCAAAGTCCACGCTGCCATCTTACAGATCAGAAAACTGGCACTCAGAGAGGCCAAGCAACCTGCCCAAGGCCACACAGCTAACAATTAACAAAGCAGGATTTTCAAAAAGTCTTTTGGGGGCCAAATCCCTGTTGTGTCTAATACCCTTCAAATTTTAAAAACTTGCTGGCCTCAGTGACACACTCCCATGATCCCAGTGACTTGGGAGGCTGAAGCAGGAAGATTAAAAGTTTGAGGCCAGACTTAGCAACTTAGCAAGATCCTGTCTCAAAATAAAAATAGAAAGGGCTGGGGATGTAGCTCATGGTCTAGAGGCCCCGGGTTCAAACCCCAGGACGAAACAAAAAAGTGTCGAAAATTTTGCTTGTGTTCCCTGTGGCTGGGCAGCAGGGATTCACACTCCAGGGATTCTCCCACAGACCCTGCCCCGCCCATTTCCCAGAGTCTCCGCTCCACCCAGCTGTGGCCTCTCTGGCTGCTCAGCTAGAGAGGCCTGTGGGTGTTTCGAGGCAAATTAAATCCACATGTTTCCAAAGCAGTAACACTTGTCAAAACGATACCAGGAGAAATGAACAGCATGTAGACCTCAGGGGCTGAGCTCAAGGTTAAGAAGGACAGCTCTGTGCTGGAGAGGAGGCGGAGACAGACAGGCAGGAATGTGGGTCAAGGCTCATTCCCAACTGAGGGCTGAGGAGGCAGAAGCCCCGCGCCAGGGACCCACCGTCAGGTGGGCACATGGCCCCATCTCTCCCACCTCCCTCCCTCCATGTCTGTCTGTGGCTCCCCTTAACGTGCTTCTCCATCTGTCTCTCTTTCTCTCCAGGCCTTTCTTTCCTTCCTTCCTTCCTTCCTTCCTTCCTTCCTTCCTTCCTTCCTTCCTTCCTTCCTTCCTCCTTTGTGTCTCTCTGTCCCTTTCTCAAGCGTCTCCCTCGTTCTCTGCTTTGCTTTCTCCATATCTTTTTATGTGTCTCTTTCTCGGGCCCTTCTGTTAATTGAGCACCTATTATATCCTATGAAGTGCTCCAGGCACTTCCCCCCATATTAATAGCTCCTCAYGGTGATAGTGTTGGCCAGGAATACTTAGCAGGCCCATGGTATAGCCAGGAAGACGAAGTGGGGAGAGTTTGGTGCTTGCCCTACAAATGCCAGCAGCCTCCTGTCAGAGCTCTGCCCACATCCTCCAGTGCTAGGATTCACACCCAGTCATGTGACTGTCACGTGGCGCCCATGTGGGTCTGGACTGTCACCCAGCCAGCAGGGGCTGGGTGTTGAAATCCCAGGGACAGGGCAAGAAGCTGAAGTGGGATTTCCCAGTGCCAAGAAAGGCCAGGGACAGGGGGCGCTGGGCACTGTTGTGGTTCACTGTGGCATGGGCCTCAGAGGGCCCTGCCCCTCCATGTGCCAGCCTGGGATGGACAGGTGTCCTAAGATGCAAGACTTCAATGCTAGAGCTGGGATATTTCCTTGGCAAACTCAAGCGGTTGGTCATCCTACGACATGTGACATCTCTGAGCACGTCACTGTCTGCAAACGGGCAGATTGTGCCCATGGCCCACGTGAGGGGGGAACAGAGGCAAGGACATGTGCTTGGTACCTGGTAAGGTCACTGCTCTCCATGGACCCCAGGAAGGGATGGGCAGCCTGGCCGTCCTGTCCCCACTCACCTGTCCACCTGCAGCTCTCCAACAAGCCTGTTGGACCTGGCACCGACCTCCAACGCAGCACTCGCCGTCTGCAAAGCAACAACCCAGGATGATGAGCCTGAGCCTGGAGCCTGGGGCTCTGCAAGCCCCCAGGATGGAGGAGAGGGCTCGGCTCCTCGAAGGCTCTGCAGAGCAGCCTGCGTGGCTGGTCCCCAAGGAGCAGGAGGTCTGCTTGTGCTCCGTGGTGTGGATTACTCCAGGATCGTCAGCCACCATCTGGGAGCTATTCAGAACTCCCCAGCCACTCTGGGAGGGACCGTGTGAGACAGACCCGGGGGCTGGAGTCCAGGCCAGCTCTGGGTCTCACAGCGCTCACTCACAGATTCACAGACTCTGAGCTTGATGACCCCCTGAGAACCCATTTTATCTGCAAAGTGCCTCTAAGTGCCCCCCCCCCTCACGGATGGGGAGAGAATCTGGACTCATCCCGGAGGCCACACCAGCTATAAAGCAGCCCTTGGGCATTGTAGGAACCCACCCTCCCAAGTTTCAGTGGAGCAAGAAGGTAGCAAGTGAATAAAAGTTCGAACCAGCGAGGGAATGAGATCCTGAACATGGAGGACCAAGCACATCTGCAAATGGAGGGGAAAGCAAGGAGCGCACGGTGCCGAGACAGGAATGAACGGAAGATGGACGAGCACACGGACAGATCACAGATGCTACAAAGGTGTGGTTGGTGAAGGTGGCACCGCCAACGAATAATTGACCAGCAATGTAATGAATAATTGAATGAATGAATAACTGAGTAAATAAATGAATGAATGGGAGAAAACAATGCACAGATGCTAATTATTTGGCCACAGACGTGAGTGAATGAATCGGAGTCAGCAGATATGATTGACAGCTTGGGTGGTTGCAAAAGCAAAGACCCAGTGGGTGCCAGGTGAACGGACGCAGGTGGGAGCCAGGAGCGGGCGGGGACAGTGGCTGTGGTCCCAGGCTCTGGAGTCACACTATCCAGGCTGGAATCCAGGTGGGATTCATACCGGGTCCCCTGACTCCAAGAACAGAGCTGTCCTCTGCCCTCACCGGGAGCAGCTTACCATGCTGAGCAGGAAGAGGGGGACCAGGGAGGAGTTGGGGAGGACCACAAAGGCCTGGACCTCCAGCTTCGGGGTGAGGGTAAGGCCTGTGGGCTGCGTGTTCAGCTGTGGTGGGGTCGAGACAGAGACCTGGAGCTGCACCTTCATGTTGGGGAACATCTTGGCCACCTGCAGCACCCAGCAGGGACAATCAACAAAAAAGGTTTACATTTTACACACATGTTCCTAAATTATATCTCGCCCTTCCATGGCATAAGCACCTCCAGTGTCTTCCCATGTCTCTTAGAATAAATTCAAATAACCATTTGGTCTGACACTGGCACCTGGTTGACCTCCCTCCACACCCCTCTGTTCCTGTCCTCCATCGCTGGGCACATGGAACTCTCTCCACTCCTCCAATGCAACAAGCACTCTTGCATTCTCTGTTCCCTCTCACTGGATGCTTGTCCATCATTCTTCCCTATTCTGCCTCTTTCCCTTCCTTCAGGTCTCAGTTCAAATGTCACCTCCTCAGAGAGCATTAGTGGCTTCCAGAAGAAATAAGGAAGATCTTGGAGACCCTCCCTGCTCTCTGCTAGCTTCCTGTTCTTTCCCAGGTGAGCCCAGACTGAGTAAAACTAATGTAACTGTTGCTGGGCTCAGTGGCACATGCCTGAAATCTCAGCAACTTGGGAGGCTGAGGCAGGAGAATCTCAAGTTCAAGGCCAGCCTCAGCAACTGTCTCAAAAAAAAAAAAAAAAAAAGGCTGAGGATGTTGCTCAGTAGTAAAGCACCCCTGGGTTCAATCCCCAGTACTACTACTACTAATACAACTATAATGCAAAGGCCACCTCAAGACAATTCCCCCAGGACCCCTGCCAGCCAAACGTCCCCCCCAACACCAGTACTTTCCTCTATATAAATTTCCTGAGATGCTGCCATGTTAGGGTTTGGGTCTTGAATGACCCCCCCAAAGCTCTTGTGTTGAAAGTGTGATTCCCAAAGGCAGCCAGGTTCAGTTCAGGCATTGATTAGTGAGGGCTCAGACCTCATCAGTGGATTAATCCATTTGGTGGATCAATCCAGGATAACTGAATGGGCTGCTGGGGGGTGAGACCTAGTTGGAGGAAGTAGGTCATGGAGGTTGCCCTTGTCTTAGCCCCAGCCCCTTCCTCCTCTCCCTCCCTCTCTCCCTTCCGCCATGATGTTCGGGGGCCAGCTGACCGTGGACTAAAACCCAAAACCATGAGCCAATACAAATATCAGCCTCCTCCAAGTTGTCTCTCAGGTATTTCAGTGACAGTGACAAAAAGCTGACTAGCAGTAGACAGATTGTTACAGTGGAAAGTTTGTGTCCCCTTTCCCTAAACTCAAGTGTTAGAGCGCTGGCCCTGGGTGTGGCTGTATTTGGAGACACGGCCTGTAAGGAAGGGAGTTTTGCTAAATGAAGGCACGTGCATGGCCCCGGGCTCACGGAATTAGCGCCCTTATCAGAAGAGACCCCAGAGCTCTCCATCCACCCCGATGATGYGCGCCCTGAAGAAAGGCCACCCAAGTGCAGCAGCCACATCACCAGGCATAAAATCTCCACCTTCTGTCTCTGCCGCAGTGAAGCAGAGCTCTGCTCTGGAAGCCACCTGGTCCCAGCAGCCTGAGTGGGCTCTTTCAGAGTTCTGCCGTGGCCACCTTCACCCAAGCCACCTCAGCCCCCTGGGTGTCACTTGTCACAGCCTGTCTCGTTTCTCATCATCTTGTGAACTTAGATATTTCTCTCTCCCCACAGGGCAGGGAGCTGCCGCTGGCAAGCACGTGGTCTGATTTGCTGGGCACAGCTGGGCGCGCAGTGAGCATCTGTCCAGYGGCTGAGTCCCAGTCCCCCGACCCAGCCTCAGCCGTGGGGAGCCGGGCGCCTGTCTCTGACCCAGAGGGGCTGCACGAAGCTGCCTCTGCCCCCAGTGGGGTTGTCTCTGGGTCTGGAGGGGCCTCAGCCTCTCGAGGAGCCCAGGCTAYCTCGGGAGCGGAGGGCAGGAGAGCCAGCCCTTCATACCTGAGGAAGGACGTTTCCAAGGGACTTGGTTGTCAGTAGGAATTTGGATCCATTGGGCATCTGTAGGGAGAGAGGAGAAACGGTCCTTGGGGATTCTGTTACAGGTGGGTGGGGGGAGAGTGGCTGTGCCAAAGCACAAAGCCCAGACCATAGGTGATAATAGCACCTTGACCTACAGCCTCAGCAGCCATCGGCCAGGTTGATGGACGTGGCCAGTGACTGCCAGCTCCCTCACTTCTTGCCCCTGAGAAGCCTCAATCTTTGGCCCAACCGAGGACATGGGGCACCCCCTTGAGTCAGCTGTCCCATGCCAACCACAGGGCAGGGCTTCCCTGTCCTCGCCAAATCCCGTCCCCACCCACCTTTGAACAAGTGTTGGGGTGGACTCTCCGCTGTGAACATTCAGCCTTTGGGGTCCCCACGTGGGGGGTCTCCATTAGTGTCCGCAGTGAGCACGTGGGAGCTCACGTGCCTCTGGCTCCCGGAATCTGATGTCTGGGGCAGTAGCAGCCCGAGGAGCYCCGCTGGGGGGTGGCCAGGTTGGGGTCAGGCTGTCCCTAGACCCTGGAAAGGAGGGTCACTTCCTCACATATAGAGAGGTGACCTGAGCCGTGAGTTAGACTCAGCCATTGTGACAGAGACAATGAGGAGGAGGAGGGTTGTGCAGAAGTGATCTGAGACTGGGTTAGCCTCTGACCTTCCAGGTGCTCAGCGGTGGGAGCTGCTGGATTCCTTTCTCATCACCTGCCCTGGGCCGGTGCCTCTGAGGCATCAGATCTCATTTAACTCTCCTGACGCTCTAGGGAGGAGGGTGCTGCTATTGATGACAAAACTTAGCTTCAGAAAGGTTGAGTGACCCCCCTAGAGTCACCCAGCTGTAGAGGACTAGAACCAGCAATCTAACTCAGGTCGGGTGAGCAAAGCCTCAAGTCCAGAAGGTGTGGCTCCTGCGTGGGCTCCGCTCAGTCTTACCATGTGGTCCTGGAGGGTGAGCTTCAGGGCTCCAGCTTCTTGGTACACAAGCCCGGCCGTATTGAAGAAGTAGTCGGAGATGCCCAGGTACACCATGCGGTCGTGGTCTTCGGGGAATGCCATTGCCGGCGGGGTGAAGGGAGGTGGGCTGCGGTGTGCCTGGCTGAAAAACTCCCCCTGGAGGTGGAGGGACAGGGGAAGCCTCAAGAATCTTGCGGAAGGTCTAAGCATCTCCATCCCATGGGAAGATGGGCAGAGGACCCCGCTAAGACCGAGGAAAAGCAATGACCAGAAAACTAACCACAGCAGCAGACTCCTCGTGGGGGCTGATTTCCAGGAGCATGTCAATTGTGGAGGGTGCAGTTCTGCTCATTGTATGGGAGGGGACATGGAGGCACAGGGAGGTGAAGTTACTTGCCCAGGTTCACAGAGCTCAGGAATCAAACCCAGGCTCTCAGGGTCCAGTGCACACGCTCTTGGATCCACCCCACTGAGCCCCGCACAGCCCATCAGGAGAACAGAGAGGCTCTGCTTGTTTCCTGTTAGGGAATTTGAAAAGAGCTACACCCGTTGGAGTGCTGTGTGCATTTTAAGCTGACCCTGCTCCATTTTTGTGAGAGGGCTCCTATGTGGCTGGGGCCCCGTRTTTATTTCTACAGAGCCATTTGATCACAAGTTACAAAAGTAGATTGTTTATTTAGCTCGAAAAATAATGTTGAGCTTTGAAAAGCAAATTATAGAAGGATCCATAGGGTAGGAGACTAGCTATGTCAAATGTAAAGGTCGATGAAAATATAAAAACACGAGCCAGAAATAGACGTGCCACTGTCAGCACGGGTCCCAGGTGAGGGGTGCAGAGGCAGGTGGGCGGGGTTGGCAGGGGGTGGCCACAGGGGCCTGGGAAGTTATTTCCACAATTAAAAGAAAAAAAAATCAAATAGGACAAAATGTCACATTTTTTCCAATCTGGGTGGTGCATACCTGGGACTGTACCATTCTCTGCGCCTTTAAAAGTGCCTTTGTTGAAGATGAGTGGCCACAGTGCCCCTACTATGGGATACCACAGGACTCTTAAAAATAACAAGAACGGGCTGCGTTGTAGCTCAGTGGCAGAGCGCTGAGTTCAATCCTGGGTTCAATCCTCAGCACCACGTAAAGAAAAATGAAGAAAATAAAGCTAATAAAAAAAAAAAAAAGAAGAAGAAGAAGAAGAGAGACCTGTGTACTGCCAGGAGCCATCTCCCACAGTTACTGTTAGGTGAGAAACGCAAGCAGGGTGGTCCTCAGCAAGACCTGAGTGTGGGTGCCTAGAACCTAGAACCCAGGACCGAGGCGGCTGACATTCCCACAGGAGCCCAGGAAGTCAACAGCCTTTCCCATTCGCTGGGGTCATTACAGGTCGTTTTGGCCTTTTACCTCCATCTCATCGCTTACCCATGTGTGTTTTAAGCATGCAGCCTGCGCCGGCAGCTCCACCGCTAGGAAGCATTTGAGAATGGGCAGAGACACAGCAGAGGACTGAAAGCCCAGGCAAAACCTGAACAACACCTGCTCACCTCCCTCCACCTGGCTGGGCTTCACCTGCCCTTCCCTGCTTTCCTAGAGGTCACCTGCAGGACCTGCCCTTAGTTAACCTCTGGTGGTCTTCCCCTGCACCCAGCCCATAAATATGCCCACCCCCCAGTCCTCAGGGAGGCAGATTTGAGACTTGGGCTTGGGTCTTCCATATCCCCCACACTCAGCCACCTCGTGCACGATTCTCTTGCAAAACTCATCCTTCCGGTGGTGGCATACTGAGCGACAGGCAAAAAAGCCAGAGTTGGTAAGAACTGGTTAGGATTGTGGGAAAAAAATGCAAAGAGTCCAGATGTTGCAGGTGGGGGCCACTGTCCACACACCTTATCCCACGCTGTCCACTGGAAGACGGAACAGCCTATAAAAGGGCATTTCATGGAGCTGGGCATGGTGCACGCCTGTCATCCCAGCGGCTCAGGAGTCTGAGGCAGGAGGTTTGCAAGTTCAAAGCCAGTCTCAGCAATTTAGTGAGACTCTGTCTCAAAATAAAAAAATAAAAAGGGCTGGGGATGTAGCTCAGTGGTAAAGCACCCCTGGTTCAATCCCCAGGACCAAAAAAAAAAAAAGATGGTGTGGGAAGCTGTCCCCTTTGTACATTTCTGTTCTGATGCTCTGGAAAGCTGTGTGTATACCATGACTTGTGCAAACACGTATGTGTGTGCATTTCTGTTTCTATACGTGTGGCTTCGTGTTTCTGCACTTGGGCATGTGCGTTCATTTTCCCATGCCTTGGTTTACACCTGCAGTGGGGAGTCTGCGTTTGTGCATTGGTAGTGCTGGCTCTGGGTTGCAGGGTTTGGGTGATCTTCACCCCCTTTCTCTTCACCTCTCCATCCCTTCCCTTCCCCTCCTTCCCTTCCTTCCTTCCTTCCTGTTTATTCAGCTCTGTTTCTCCGTCTCTCTGCAGTTTCTCAATTTTCTTTTTTTACATCAAATATGTTTTCGACAAATGTAAACAAGGGAGGAAATCACCAGTCACGGAGGGACGGATGGAGCTCAATCCGTCCAGAGTGAGTTTCAGGGAGTTAGACCCAGCCAGCTGGGTTATGGGGAGAGCTGCTCTGGGAGCCATAGCTAAGCAGAGACCCACTGGTGGAGGCAGCCGCCAGGGCGGGTAGATGGCATTGGGAGGAGCAGGGGCTCAGGCAGAGGGAAAGCTAGGACTGAGACCCTGGGGTGGGAGTGGGAGCTGAGTATGTCTGGTTGCGGGTGGTGCACCAGGGGAAGTAGCCCAAAATGAGACTCCATCCATCCGTCCACCCAATAGATATGACTGAGCTCCTACTATGTGCCAAGCAGGTTCCAGGTGCTGCACACACAGTAATGAACAAAGTAGTCTCAGCCCCTTCTCCCTGGTCATAGTGCATGTGTGTGCGCGTGTGCATGTGTGTGTACATGCTAGTCATCAGCTCTGCTGAGAGAAAGCACGGTGTGGGAGAAGCAGAGGGGGGCCGCTATTTGAACAAAGACAGAAAGGAAGCAGGGGAGACTTGTGTGGATGCCTGAGGTGGGGGAGCACCTCCAGCAGAGGGACCCTCAAGTGCAAAGGCCCTGGGGGTAGGCAGAGTGTGTCTGAAACAGCAGGAGGCCTGCCTGCCAGAGGCGGGTGGCAGGGGAGCATGGAGAGAGAGGGAGGAGGACAGGAAGTGGGGTGAGTCTGTGGGAGACTGCTGTCCAAGGACTACCGGGGCTCCAGGGTGGGGACCAAGGTTGAAGTGTGACTGATGGACTCTTGGGGTCAGCCTCACCTTCAGCTGCCCATCCAGGTTCTCAGCTGTGGTTATCGGAGGTGCCACCAGACGGTAGTCGATCCCAGCCACAGCATCTATTTGGGTGGTCACTAGAGGAGAGAGGATGGACCATGAGCTGGCTCCCAGCTGGGAAGCAGGGGCAGTGTCCCCTAAGCCTGGATCAAGACTGAGGTGCCATCTCCACTCCCCTCCTCCAGAGAGGCCTCCCTGACTCCCCTTAAAGGAAGTGAACCCTCACCCCACATTCACAGAACCGTCCCCCGCCCTTCTTCCCACAGCCCCAGGATGAGTGACCCAACAAACAAAACAAAAGATGCTCTACAGGGTGAGGGGAGAGACAGGTGTGCATGAACTCTGTGTGACCTTGAACAAGTCCTTGAGCTTCTCTGAGCCACTTTGGGTCATTTGTAACATGGGGGTGGTACCCGTCCCCTCAGGTGCTGGAGGACCAGGTGAGCAGGTGCCTGCCCCGGCCCTGTCCATCACAGGTGCAGACCGCAGGAGGGATGCGTATCAGCAAGGGTACCTGCCGACCGTGGCTTGGGTCTGCAGGGTCTCTCTGTTTCCCAGGTGACATCAATGAGAACTTAAATAAACACCAGCCCCTCCTTTTGCCCTTCCTGCCCAACCAGGGGAGACACTGAGGCTTAGAGATCGGGGTGTCCTGGAGGACACTGTGGGAGACTGAAGGAGCTGGACTCCACCCTGACCCTGATCCTGCGTCAGGCCAGATCTCGACCTGCTCCTGCTCTGAGCATGCCAGCGTGGCCTTGGCAGAAGGAAAAGCATCTTGACTGATCACACCTGCAGGCTCCGCGGGGAGGCAGCCCTGGTGGCCACTGGAGCACAGAGGACGAGCTCCAGACGGGGGACTCTGCAACTGTAAAGGCTTTGTGACCTTGAACAAGTCTCTGCTCCTGTCTGAACCTCCGTTTCCTGTTTCCTCATGGGAAGTGGAGAGAGTAGTGCCCAGCTGGGGGTGGGGGTGGGGAGGCTGAGTATCTGTAACGTGTTGAACACTCACCAGAGGAGGTCCCCTGCCTGCCACTGCTCTTGGCAGCTTGCCACAGGCTTGTCCCCATTTTAAGGCTGTAGAAACCGAGGTCCAGAAAAAGTGACCAGTGTCAGATTTCAGGCCAGTTACGTAACTGTGGCCTCAGAAAGCTGGGGTATCTACCTGGGAGCAGTGGTGCACACCTGTGATCCCAGTGACTTGGGAGGGTGAGGCGGGAGGCTCAGAACTTTGAGGCCAGCCTCAGTAACTTAGCAGGACCCTGTCTCAAAGTAAAAAATAGAAAGGGACAAGGGATGTGGCTCTGTGGTAGAGCACCCCTGGGTTCAATCCTCAGTACTGGGGTGGGAGGCAAACTGGGGTATCTGGTCTTTTGGCCCCCTGCTGGGCTGGGAGAATGGGCTGTTCCATCTCACGTCAAGGACCTGCCAATTGAAATTAGCTCTGTCCCTTCCCATTCAGGACCAGGCCTGTCACACCCTCTCTGCCTCCTTCCCCCTCCCCTTTATATTCCTTTCTATCCTCAGTCTCCGCCCAGCTCTCACCTGGAAAATTCTTGACATAAGCTTGCAGCTTGGTGGACACAGAATTGGCCACAAACTTGCAGATCTAGGGAGAACCAAGGAAGGAACCTGTAGTGGGAAATGCTCTTTGGACACAATGGTGCAAAGACATGCTGTCTTGGTTCATTTTCTGGTGCTGTAGCAAAACACCTGAGACCAGGTAATTTAGATAGATAGATAGATAGATAGATAGATAGATAGATAGATAGATAGAAGGTTATTTAAATCCCAGTTCTGGAGGCTGTGAAGACCAAGGGTGTCGCACTGGGCCCTGCCTGGCCACCTGGGAGGACCTTCCTGCTGCATCCTAACATGGTGGGGGGGCTTCACATTCCCAGACAGAGCCAGCATTCTAGCTGAGGTCCCTCCACCTCTTCTTATAGAGCCACTATTTCATCATGAGGCCCCTGCTCTCATGTCCTCATTTAATCCTAATTCCCTCTCAAAGGCCGCGCTTCTGAACACCACATGAATGTCCTTCTGAAAATCATGTTGCTAATCAAGTTTCTCTTTCTCCTTTCTGTGCACCAGGAAGCTCAGAGTTCAACAGGCAGCTTAGAAATAACAACTGTATGCAGTTGTGTGACCTGCATTTGGTTTCCCTGGTATGGCCCTTCCCTGGTGAATTTTAGGTTTTCTGTGTTGTAAGGTGGGGTTCTTTGTTGATGGCTGTCTTGTTTTTCTTGTGTCTGTTTTTGTGGTCTCAGATTCTTCATGGAATGAGGTGTGAAGACACAAAAACACGAGGTAGCGTTATGATTTGTATCTGGAATATACCCTGAAAAGCTCACATGTTGAAAGCATGGTCCCCAAATTTAGGAAGGTTTAAAGGTGAAGCTTTTAGGCAATGATGAGAACTGTAACCTCATAAGTGGATTAATCCATTGGCTAGACTAATAATTTGAAAGGACTGTTGAGAGCCACAGCCGAAAGGGGCCCCAGCAAACTTCCAGCTGCCAGCAAACTTCCAGCTGCCAGCAAACTTCCAGCTGCCAGCTGATGATTGGCTCACAGCGGCCCCAGCAAACTTCTAGCTGCCAACTGATTGGCTCCTCTGCAGTGATGCTCATTGGGCTGTTTCCCCACCCTTTCAGACCACAGAGCTGCTCATTGGGGGACTTTTTTGGCTCTGCCCATGCGACCCAGCCAATCGGCCTCAAGAGCAGGAGGAGTGGGGGAGGTGGAGAGGCTTGTGGGAAGCCGGTGGTGGCAGTTGGTTGCAGGTTTGTTCCCCATACGGGCCACCAAATGCCGCAGTCTGGCTGGGCACAATTCAGGAGCCACTTGTCAAAAGAAATGAACTTTATTTTTAGAACACACACCAAACCACACAGCTCTTCAGGAAAACCTTCAGAGCCCAACTGCCACCACCAGCTTCCCACAAGCCTCTCCACCTCCCCCACTCCTCCTGCTCTTGAGGCCGATTGGCTGGGTCGCATGGGCGGAGCCAAAAACAACAAATGAAAAATTAAAAAACAAAAACAAAAACAAAAAAACCCGGAAATGAATGGTCCCCTTCCAATATTGCAGGTCTGACAGATGCATCCTGAGCAGCAAGTGGAAACTGTCCCCTCAAGTGACAAAAGGCTTCCCTGGAGCCACCTCACAGCACTAGAAGTGACCATGACCCACCAGAGCACACTGTGACCAGGCCTGCGTCCTCCTGCAGCCCTCTGGTTAAACCCACTAGTTAAACCCCCAGCTCCCGACAGCGCCCCCAGGACCCTGCTGCGACACGGGCTCTCACGCTCCTTCATCAGCTTCTCTCCATCACCTCTCTGTCTGCTCTGGGGGATCAGAGGCCAGACCTGCTCTGTGGGACCCTGGAGTCCTGTCTGCTGCCTCAGACTCTGGTGACGAGAGGTGTGTGGCTCCCAGGGCCTCCCTCTCCGGCCCCTCCTACCTTGCTGTTCAAGGTGTTTCGAAGAGACGACTCGATTTTCTTATGGAAGAGTTGAATCAGCCACCTAGGGGTTGACACGTAGGGTCACAGGTGTGGCTTCCAGGTGTCCCTGAGCTGGACTCGGGAGGTGCCTCACCTGGGAAGTCTTCCCCCTCCTCCAAACAGGCCTTGGCACCCTCGGCCCAGGCACCTATTGAGCACCCCCCATTGGACATGTCTCCCCCTGTTTGTAGCATTCTGCTATGGGGTTAGTTCCTTGGTAGCTGCACAGCCAGGCCCCTGCCCCCATCTCAGTCCCCTTCCTCACCACTCCCCCACTACTCYGCACACTGATCTGCCCTATCCTCTGTGACCTATACTTCCTCCCACCCCAGTACCTTTGCACATGCTGTTCTCACCACTGCTTAAMCCCCCCCCCATCCCTAGCATCTGCCTAATTAACTCCTACTTAATCCTTTTTATCTCAWTTCAATTGTCATTTCATCAGGAAGAACCAGCCAGCCCGGTTCTGAGTCTGTTCTTCCTGTTCTGTGTTCACTGCGTGTTGTACTCTTCTTCTTAGTTTTTATCTCCTTTTGTAATTACAGGTGAGCCATTCATAAATGCAATGGTGTAATTAATATTTGCTCCTCCATTGAGCTGGGAACATTAAGAGATCAGGGCTGTGTGGCTGAGTCTGGGACAGAGAGTCCTGAATTGAACACTGACAAGCTACAGAAATAGGCCACTTCCCATTCTTTCTGTGCCTTGGTTCCCCACCCCCCTGAAAATGGGGTAATAATCGACCCACATCATCAAGTCACTGTGTGCACTGACTGAATACAGTAGGTGCCACAACAGTGCCTGGCCCACAGGAAGCCTCTGCTGGATGCTCCGTGTTACCAAGTTTTTATGAGGCACCCCTGTTTCCTTGTGTGCCGTCAGGGTCTGGTGCACCCCTGATTCTCAGTAGATACCTGTGGAATGGACGATGCACTGTGCCCACACACACCGTGTCCTTCAGCACAGACAGAAGGGGCTCGGCACAGGCCTGGGGCATGGGAAGGGCCTCTAGCCTTGAGGCAGGGACAGTGTCTGCTTCACCTTCCGCTGGACCCTCCCTCCCAGGCCTCTGGACCAGCCTGGAGTGGGGAGGGCCCTGGAGGTGTGTTTCCTAAACTCAGGGATAGAGGGGACGGCTCTCCTCCCGTCCCTCCTCCCAGCCGAGCCCCAGGAGGTCCTACCCCACGGTGCTGCCCCAGATGCGCAGGCGGGTGTTGCTGATGTGGCTGCCACAGCTGGAGCAGGCCACCGTGATGTGGCCGGAGGTGGGGTCACTGCCCAGGTTCAGAAAAGCCGAAATGGAGACGCCTTCTATGCTCAGGTCAAACTTRCCACTGGCTGAGCTGAAGGGAAACAGAGAAGCGGCTTGAAGAGGGGGTTTTTCCCCCTCCATACTTACRCGCACACCATGGCTGGAGGTGGGCTTCCCTGGTATCCACATTCCAAGGCAGAGGGGACAGGGTACAGAGAGGAGGCAGCTTGCCCAAGGTCACACAGCTCTGAGCAGTAGAGTCAGGATTCTAACCTGACTTCTGGACCCCATGTCTGCCTGGCAGATCCCTCAGCCACTGCCCTTGCTGTGTGACTTTGGGCAGGTCTCTTAACTTCTCGGGGCAGTGCACTTCATCTGTGAATGCTTGTGTGATGCAGTATTATTATTATTTTTTAATCAATATGTGAAATAAGAGATGCAAAAGAGCCCGGGGCCAAGAACTGGGTGACTGTTCCGGAGGGGAGTGGCAGACCCACCAGTCCTCCCTTCACCTGRTGTGGCTTCTCTTGCATTTCCTCCTCAGGTTCCCCAGAAGGGACATGTCCTCAAAGTGATCRTTTGGTCTGGGCCATAATGACTAGCAGGCAGGCTCCTGTGTGTCAGGTGGTGGGGATCAGTATGTTTTCTTGCTCTTGACTTTGAGGTTGGCCAGGTGMCATGCTTTGGCCAATGAGATGTGAACAGAAGTGAYTGTGGGCCATTCACAGCCTAGGCCTTCAGAGGGCCTTCCCTGCTTCCTTTTGCACCTTTACTACCAACAAAAATGGGCCCTGGAGGGGARCCAAAGACGAGGGGCCTCAGCAAGGCCGAGCCTGGATGAGCCAAGTGCCAGTTAGTGCACAGATGCATGATTTTTTTAAGCCACTGGCCTTGGAATGTTTTGTTACAGGGCATTAGCTAGCTGATGAATGAAAAGCCCCATCTGGCTTCCCACCCTGAGCCACAGGACCAGGGGCCTCGCCATGTTCCACGTTGAGATACAGCCAAATGCTCAGCTTTCCACCGAGCGTTGTTAAATCATCTTAGGTGAGAACTTCCCCCGGAGGAACTCTGTGGCTACAAATGGTAATTTGGGCAAAAGTAGGGCATTGCCTGCCCCCTGGATCTCATCCCTTCCCAAATCACTCAGAGTGCACCCAACAAACCCCAGGTGTAAGACGCACAAGAAATTCTTTTTTCCCTTCCACTTCCCACTGATCTTCACATTGGCTTTGCTGATGGASAGTCTGAGGCCCACCTGGGGCTCCAGTCTTATCTGGGGACTGGGAAGCTGGAATCCGAGGATGGTCATGCTGCAAAGGAAAAAAGTTCAGTCAGCTTCCTGGGTGCCTGCCTGGGGATGCAGCAAAGCCCTTCACCCCACCCTTTCCAGAAGGAGCCATGAATGAGCTCTGAGAACAGTCTTGGGGATACCTGGGCACAGGAGTGGCTTGGGCTTCAGAGGCAAGACACACCTGCATGTGACTCTCTATAATGTCCTGTTGTGTGAACCTGGGTCTATCATGTAGTTACCCTAAGCCTTAGTGTCCTCATTTGTAAAATGGCACAGTCACCTCTGTTGTACGGGGGTGTGTGACTATCAACGAAGMCACCAAATGTTAAGCCACTGACTATGTGTCTCTGTAAAGGGTAGAATGTGTGGTCTCCACTATAGCCAGAGACTGCAGGGTGAGACACACAGTAGGTGCTCAAACTATTCATTGAATGAAGGGGGTGTGTAACACTGTAGAGAAAGTCTTCTGTCACTATCCCCAACCTCTTGTGATAACAGAACTGCCTCATCTGCTTTGGGGGAGCTCCTCCYATAGCCGTTCCCTGCCTCTCAGAAGAGAGCTGATGTCCACCTTCAGGAGGTGGAGCTTGTAACTTAAGCTTAGCCAATGAGTGGAGTCTATTCCCCTGGCCACAGCGATTGGCTCAGGGGCAAGTACATGACCTAAGACAGTCCAATCAGAAGGAGCCTTGGGGTTTTGCTTGAGTTCTCAGAGAAGGCGCTGTTCTTCGGGGACTGAGAGTGCTGAGGCAGTCAAGTGAGAGTTACTGGGGGCTACCTCGTCTCTGGAGAGGGCACTGTGCCCCAGAATTAGTCCTCTCTGAGAACATGATGCTGTGCTGAGATGGCAAGAGAGAAACAGGGTCCTGTGACATTTGAGCCTGGCTCAAGCTGAACCTGAAGTGTCAGATAAGACCAGAGACTTTGCAATCATGAGTTCCTAACTTCTGGTTTAGGTCATTTGAGATCAGTTTTTTTTTTTTTTTTTTTTTAACAGGGATTGATTGAACTCAGGCACTCAACCACTGAGCCTCAGCCCCAGCCCTTTTAAAAAAAATATTTTATTTAGAGACAGGGTCTTGCTGACTTGCTTAGGGCTTTGCTAATTGCTGAGGCTGGCTTTGAACTCTTGATCCTCCTGCCTCAGCCTCCCAAACCTCTGGGTGACAGGTGTGCGCCACCACACCTGGCAAGATTAGACTTTACGTCTTTGAAACTCCCCCAAATTCTGAATCGTGGACCTGACCTGAGAGTTTTAGGGTTTACCACATATCCCCTGGGAGTTGCGGAGAGTTCCAGAAAGGCAGCTTTTGCAGCTTCCTCCAGAATTGGCTTGGGGAGGGGGACGGCATCCCGTTGGGATGGTGTCAACACTGGCTTTGGGATCCCAGACTCCAGGAGTTGAGGAGCTTGTGGCTGTGGTGGCCCCAGGACAGTCCTGCCTAGTGAGGGCTAGGCGTGGACAAGCCTCACCTGTAGAAGCTGTAATACCCTTTCCCCAAGTGTTGGATCTTAAAGTTTCCAGAGAAGTCAGGAATCTTGATCTTTTCCAGCTCCTTCTGTAGCATGGCTACTCCCTTCTGGCAGGCTGAGGGGAGAGAACAGGGTGGGCACAGTCAGAGGCACAGCTTGGGAGCCGGAGTGGTAGATCAGGGCGGCTCTGGACCCTTGGTCCCTGTCCATAGTAAGGACAGCGGCCTGGACAGGTCTAGAGCAGGCGTCCATGATGGTTTTCTACAAAGGGCCAGTTAGTGGATAGTTTCAGCTTTGTGGTTCGTACTGTCTCTGTCACAACTATACCACTCTAATGTCACTGAGCAGACGCAGCCACAGACAGTATCTAAATGAATAAATGTGATTCTGCTCCCAGATTTTACTTATGGACACTGGAATTTGCATCTCATACARTTTTCACATCGCTACAGTTGGCTTGTTTGCCAATGTGACCAAAAGACCTRGTGAGAACAAATTTAGAGGAGGAAAAGTTTATTTGGGGCTCAAGGTTTTAGAGGTCTCAGTTCACAGACAGCAGACTGCATTGCCCCCGGCCAGAGGTAAGGCAGGACCTCACGAGGGCAGGGTGTGGTGGAGGAAAGCAGCTCAGGACATGGCCRCTAGGAAGCAGAGAGGGTGCTGCTCACCGGGGACAAAATACAAACCTCAAGGGCAGGCTCCCAGTGACCCACCTCCTCCAGCCACATCCTACCTCCTTCAGTGACCACCCAGTTAATCCATACTCGAGGATTAATCCACTGATTAGGTTACAACCTTTACAATCTGAATGTCCCTGCATTGTCTCACACATGAGCTTTTTGGGGGACCCCTCATATCCAAACCAGAGCACACAAAATGTGAGATATTATTCTTTTTTTTTTAAGTTGTGGATTCACACAATACCTTTAATACTTTTATTTTATTTATTTTTATGTGGTGCTGGGGATCAAACCCCGTGCCTCACACCTGCTAGGCAAGTGCTCTGCCACTGAGCCACAACCCMGACCCCTAAGGTAGTATTCTTATTTGAGTTTTTCAACTGTTTAAAAACATAAAACCATTTTTGGATCATAGGACATATGGAAACCTGTAACAGGCTACATTTGTCCCATAGGCTATAGTTTGCTGGCCTCTGGTCTCAATGTCACCCCAGGCAACTGGTGGGGGCCCATCAGCATTCAGTACACAGCCGCTCCATGCCTTGGTCTGCACTCTGCTCTCAGGGACCCCGGGACTCCGGCTTTCTGATTCTCTCCACAGGCTCTTTGCACATGCCATTCCTGCTGTCGCAGACACTTTTTCTCCCATATTCACCCTACCAACTTCTAGTCAGCTCAATCATTGCTTCCTTCCAGAACCTTCTATGACCCAGTGGAAGAGAGAAACACCCCCTCCCCATTATCATAGTCACAATGCCATGATGTCTCCTTCAGAGACCCCATTACCATTTGTAATCACACATTTATTCATGTGACTCTGATTCATGTCTTGCTCCCGTGCTAGATGTAAGCCCCCCGAGGTTAGCGGAAATGTCAGTTTTATTTATTAACGCATCTCCTACATTTACCACAGGGCCTGGCACTTAATATTTGTTGGATAAATAAATGCCCCAAGGTAGGGATTGTGCCATCTGTTGTTATGTGGCTAAGAGCGTAGAAGAACTGATTAACACAAACACGCTGCCTGAGGGGATGGGGCGAGGGAGGYTTGCTACCCAGGCCTTTGTTTCTCAAGAGCCAGTGTGGCCATAACAACAACAACCACGCAGCGTTCAAGCTCTTCTCTGTACCAGGCACTCTGAGCTGTGCGCATGTATTGAGCTATTGCATCTGAAACAATCCCAGGAGAAGAAGTCCTGTCCCTGCTCCCATTTCATAGATGAGGAAGCGGAGGCTCAGGAAGGTATGAGCTCTGTTCAAGACCACAGTCTGACCAGTAGAGAAGACAGGACTTGAACTCAGATCTTCTAGTCACGGAGCCCTGGGGTAGGCCTTCTTGGGGCTCCGAAGTAAGCAATGCATATGTGGTCACAGCCCAGAGGCAAAACAAAATATGGGATGGCCAAAATCTGTAAGTTCACAGGAGCCAAGGCCTCGAAGGCTCTCAGATGCAGGCCAGAGTGTCAGGGTGGCTTCTGCAGACCCTAGGGAGCCACTGAAGCGGGGAGCAGGTCTCTACATGATCAGATTTGCTGCATTTCAGAAAACTCACATGGAGCATGAGTAGAAGGGGAAACTGACCGAGCACAAGGACTTCTGGTTTTGATACCCTCAGCTGAGCCTCTGCTCCCCCGAAGCCTTCAGGAGCGCCCCAGCTCTGGGACGCACAGGGCCACCCTCCTTCCCCTTAGCTCACGTGGGGCCTCGGTTGGCACCCTGGGACTTGGAGATGCCTTGCCTGGGCTGAGGTCCTGTCCTGTCATTCCCCAGTGGTGCACCAACTGGTGAGGACCTGTGTTCCCCTTGCTCCGATTTCTCTGGTACTGGGGATCCCYCTCACACCTGCAGTTCATCTCTTTGCCAATGGGAGGCAGCATGGAGCAGCCCCAGGCTGGGGCATTAGACAAAACCAGGCTGCCTGCTTCTCGTGGCTCTGACTCTCAGGCTTGCTGGCCTGTAAACATTGATAAATAACAGCAAGTCCCACCCACGGTGGAAGTGAGGATAAATGAGACTGCATGGACAAGGCTCCCAGCCCACGTCAGAGCAGGGCACTCACTCTATTCTCTCCTCCGGCTGGCCCTGGATGAACGGCCTGCAGGACTCCTCTCAGGGTCACCCAGACATGTTGGGCCCAATATGGCTGCCAGCCCCTGCACTGTGGAGACCACTAAGGAGGGACCCTGCCCACACACCTCTCCAGTCTTCTCAGCAAATAGAGGCAAATGGACTTTGGCAAGGAGGAAGGTCCTAGAAACCTGAGTTGGGGTGGGGACAGGGAGGGGATGGTACACACTCAGGGGCTTGGGCACTAGCCTTGGAGCCTTCTAGACCAGTGTTTCAGTCCCAGCCCTGCCCTTCCCAGGCCTGGGGTCTCCGGCAACTCACTTTGCCGCGGATTCTTTGCAGGTTAATCAAGGGCGAGAGGCCTACCCTGCAGAATGGTGAGGACCAGGAAGTGCTCAGGAAGGGCTCCTCAGGGGTRGGAGAGGAGGAAAGGAGGGCATCCCATTACCGTAGTCCAGGCCCTTCTGGGAGATCCTGGTCAGGAGGCCAGGGTTGGTGGCCGCTGTCGCAGCTGTGCCCATGGTGGTCAGCACTACCAGGATTGCCCACTGTGGCATACTGTCAGGGCCCCTGGCCATTCCTCCTTTGTCCTCCAGGGCTGGCAAAATGTCAAGGCCTTGGAGGAGAACCAGAGACCTGCAGAGGAGGCGGCCGGAGAAATGCAAGTCGGCAGCAAGGAGGAAGGAGCTGGTTGGAGGTGGAGAGAGGGAGGGCAGCCACGGTGCCCTACTGAGGCTGCCGCTAGTGGAATCTGAGAGCCTGCTGTGCGGGTGCACGGGTGCGTGTGTGCTTGTGTGTGTGTGAAAGGGGGTCTGGGAGATCTGGGTGGTTCTCCTCCCTGACCCCCCCCCATCCCCTGCTCTGAGCCCCCAACCAAATTCCCACATTCAAGGACTTCCTGGAAGCCGGGTGGTGGGTACGTCAGAGTTCATTATATTTTTCTTTCTACTTTCAATTTCTTGGGTATTTTTCATACTAAAACATTGAAGAAAACAGATTCTTTGGTGCTTGGTGTCCTCAGAAGCTGTAATGGTAATGATTAAATGCTCACTTTTTTTTTTTTTTTTTTTTGGATTAGATTCTTGACTGTGGTTTTAAATCAGAACTCTGCCACTCCCTGGCAATCTGACTATAGGCAAGCCCATTAACCCACTCTGAACCTCAGTTTCCTCTTCTGTAGACGGAGGGGCATAGTAGTGCCTTCCCACTCGAGATCACTAGGAAGACAGAATGAATGAGCTTTAAACCAGGATAATGCATTCAGCATGGTATTATCATAAACAGCCAAATGCCAGCTATTAATGTTACTCTAACTTCAAGTCATCCATGTTTTTTGGCCAAAATTTAAGAACGATCAAGAGAATGAAAATTACATGGAATCCCATCTTCAAGAAGCAAGCAGCAGCTGGGCTGGTGGTAATCCCAGTGGCTCAGAGGCTGAGGCAGGAGGATGGAGAGTTCAAAGCCTCAGCAAAAGCCAGGCGCTGAAAAATTCAGTGAGTCTAAAAAAAAAAAAAATACAAAATAGGGCTGGAATGTGGCTCAGAGGTGGAGCGCCCCTCAGCTCAATCCCCAGTATTTCCTCTCCCCCCAAAAAAGAAGCAAGCAGAATCGTGTCCTCTCTCTCTCTCCCTCCCTTTTCTTTTTGGAAAGCAGACACAGATGGTTGTGTGTGTTTGTTTTTCTAACAAACAAAAATAGGATCGCSCGGGTCACTTTCGGAAAGTGTCTTTTGATCAACAAACAGGTGGCCCTTCTCCCGGGCTTTCAGCACGGGTTGCTTCCTCTCCCTCCTTTCCATCCTTCACCCCGCGRACAGCTGCAGAACCCGGGCTTCGCAGGGGGCGGCGTTCTTCCCGTGGACAAGCGGCTCGGCAGGGTTGGGATCCAAACCCGGTGCCACCCAGCACCGGCCTGAGTCGCGCAGCCCGTGGGGGTCGAGGGGGTCGAGGGACCCGGGCAGACACTCCGCGCCCCGCCCCAGCTCCCCGCCCTCGCAGGGCTGCAGCTCGGGGCTGAGTGGGCGCGATCCCCCAGGGCAGCGCGCGGTGGGTCCCCAGMAGCCCCCTGCGCCCTGTCTCTCCCTCCGACTCTGATTTTATGAAAGTCTAATGAACCTGCTGAGCCCAGCACGAGAGACCTCGGGAGGGGAGCTTTTCTTTTTCTTCTTCCCGTGGTTCTACCTGGGTTTCCCTCCCAGCTCCGCCCACCTGGAGGCCCCGGGCTTGTGCGCCAGGCGCTCGCCTGCCCTGTCTCCAAGGCTTACAGCAACTGAGGGGTAGGGGGACAGTTCCCCCTATCGGAGACAGGAAACGAAGGCACGCAGTGATTAAGTCCCTGTCATGGTCACTCTGATTTTCAGGGAGCCAAGACTCCCACCCCCTACCTTGGGGCCATCGCCAGGGGCACTTGTCACCCTGGGTCCTCATCCCAGTTCTACCTTCCTGCAAACAACCTGGGCCTGCATTTGTACAAGGACAATCGCCCCAAGGAGCAACCAGAGCAGAAAGATCGTGACTTGTCATAAAATAGGTTTTTGGAAAATAATCTCGCACTTTTGAGCCTCTCCAGTTCTTAACTGTCCAAAGTCCCTGAGTGCCACCCCCCATCCCCAGGGCCCAGCAGATATCCAATCGGTGAAGGTGTCAGTCAGGAAAAGAGCATTAAGATGAAATCCCAGGATGATGACTTCCGTGGCTATAACATTAGGGTCTTAAACCCAGCCGGCATGCTTCCCAACAAGCCACCTCCCCTGGCTTCCCCATTGCCCATGCCCAGTGAAACCTATCAAGTCCCTCAGTGACCCTCCTTTCCAGTCCCCTTTCTCAGCGTTGCCCTGGCCATGGAGATGCCTCACTGCTTCAGATCTGACCCTCTATCCTGTCTCAGTCTTCAACCCAGGCAACAGAATCCAGCTCACATCAGCTTCTATAATGAGCACATTTATTATCTCAGAGAAGTCTGTCTCCAGGGAGGGGAGGTCTGAGACTCTCTTGACACACACCTAACTGACTCCACCTGTTCATCTCTCCATCTCTGCTCTGCCACCCAGGGGCTCACATTGGCCCTCTCGTTGGCTTCTTTCTTGGTTACAAGATGGCTGCAGCGGTACTACCACACCTAAACGGCTTCTTCCTAAGTCTCCTCCACCTCTTCCTTTTTGGTTCTTTTCAAAACTTACTATAAACTATTTAAAACATCTAGATAAGAATAAAATACCTACATTTGTAAAATCTTAACATTATGCCATATTCGACTCATTCTTTTTTGATCCTATAAGTTTATTAGTGTATTATAGTTATATATAATAGTTGGGTTCATTTTGACAAAATCATATATGTATGCAGTTTCATTTACTCCATTTCAGTCCCCTCCTTTCCCTTCCCTCCTCCTTCCCCCTATTCTCCTTCCTCTGCTCTACTGGGCTTCTTTTCACTGATTTAACTAACTAATTTAATTTTTTATTAGCTTTGGTACTGGGGATTGAACCCAGAGGGCTTCTCCACTGAGTTTCACCCCTAGCTCTTACTTACTGACTGATTTGAGACAGGGTCTCACTAAGTTGCTTAAGGCCTAGCTCAGTTGCGGAGCCTTAGCCTTGAACTTGCAATCCTCCTGCCTCAGCCTCCCAAGTCCCTGGGATTACAGTGGTGTGCCACTGTCCAGCCTCTTTATTTATTTTTGATTGGTGACTTATAGATATACATACAGGTAGAATTCACTGTGGCATATTTATATATGCACTTAGCATGATTTTGTCAAATTCATTCCACATTTTAGTCCTATAGATTTTATCACCTGTATAGATATATGTAACTGGGACCACAGTCAGGATATTAAATAGTCCCATCATCCCCTCAAACTCTCTCCTGCCATCCCAGCTCAMCTAAGAGTCGGTTGTCTCAGCAGGTACTCATGGATGGGGCGGTCAACAGCTGACTGGTCCAGGGGCTGTTTCTGTCCACTCCCCTGCTCTCTGTCCTTATTCTGTTGACTTTTGCTAAAATTGGGGTGAGAGTCGGGTAGGCCTGGGTTCTTGGCCCCAGTCATGTTTTCTGCTCCCTGGGTGAGTCTGGTCCAGTTCCTTGCCCCTTCTGGTCCAGTGCCCATTTCAAGATGGGGAAACTGCCCATGGGTGGGCTTGTTCCTACAGTAAAGTGAGATAACAGGTGTGAACCAATTTGCACTGACAGGTGCGCAGTTGATCATCAGGGTTCAACCTTGGTCAGGAGCTGGGGCGGGAGCGAGGCCCGGGTCTCCAGGAAGCACTCCAAGGCACTGCAGTGAGCTCCCGTCCTCAGGCCTCTGGGGTTGGGCTAATCAGTGCAGAGACAGAGGGAATCCATGGCTTGTGTTGCCTGGTGAACCCTCCACTTGGTGATGGAGGAGAAGCAGCCATCTCCTGTCTTCAGCAGACCCTGGCAGCATAGCAGAGCAGCTAAGGATGTGGTGGTGGGACTTACCATCCTGGGCTCAAGCCTCACTTCTGCCTCCTGCTTGCTGGGTGCCTTTGAGCTTGAGGCTGACCCTTGCTGAACTTGTCCCTATGTTCCGTGCTTAGATGAGGTCTGCTTCCACAGACCTGCACGCTCAGCTTTTCTGTGAGGCCATCCCTGTGGCCTGTGGAGGCCTCAGGCCTCAGGCCTCTCCCTCTGCCTGGGCCCCTTGACTCTCCAGCCCTTTCCCTCCACCACCCCCTTGGGACCCAGTCCTCTCTACCTGCCTTCCAGGGCATGTCGTGGGCACTTCTGTGACCCAGGGGGGTTGAGGAGGCAGGGGCAGGAGGGACGGGTGGTTCCTTAGGGTGAAGTAGGGAGAGGAACAGGCCTCACAGGGATCTGGACTCATCATGGGTGAAGAGGTGTCTCCAGAGAAGTGTCTGAGGAGTTCCTGGGGAGAAGGGAGAGCTTGGCTCAGGAGCTGCTGGGTTCCCAATGTATGTGACAAAGAGAATTCTAGTGTGCTCCTGGCAGAGCCACGGAGARGGGTTTCCTTAGGAAAGCAGATACACATTGAAGGGGGGACGTGGCCATTGGAGAGTAGGAGATGCTTCTTGGGGTTCCTGACTCTTCTTTTAAAGGAAACCTGGTGAGGGGTGGGTATAGGATGGACGTAGGATACCAGTCTGGTGGTCCCAAGACARGTTGTGGGGTCTGGCCAATCTCAGGATCCTCAGGCTGAAGTGGTCTCCATGATCTGATTAGTAGATGGTGCTGCAAAGTCCCCTCGTTATGAACTTCTCAACATGTTGTATCTCTCTTTACTTAATCTAGTTATGGGGGATGTTAATTAACAGCACAGAGGTAGATGTACACATTTCCCAGACCTGGAAAGGGAGCCTGGCTTAGGGAGTGACAGGGCTGGAAATGTATGTAGAACTTCTCCATTAAAATGGTATTTCCTAATCCCTTATCTCACCCTGCACAAAATCCAACTCAAAATGGATCAAAGACCTAGGAATTAGACCAGAAGCTAGGCAACTCCTAGAAGAAAGCATAGGGTCAACCTGCCAGGCAGCGACTTCTTCAGTGAGATGCCCAAAGCTCAGGAAAAAGTGCCAAGAGTKAATAAATGGGAT